AAGGTTACTGGCTCAGTCATGAAGGTCGCAGAGGACCGCCACATGCAATCCTCCCTAGAACACCAGTCACCTAGCGAAAGGGCTTCGCAACAACAAGAAAAACCCATACCACTACAGTCAATGAGCGCAAATACCCCACGACGACCAGCGCCTCCACCACCGCCAAAGATGTCTGTATTGGAGACCGCAACTGCTGCTGCTGGAGCTGCCACCACCAAGACACGAGAGAGGAAGAAGAGGGTTACGCTGTCCGTCAATGGAAAGCACTACTCTCAGATGGACAGGATAGGCAGAGGTGGCAGTTCGGCGGTGTACCGTGTCATGGCAGAGAACTTTAAGACTTTGGCGCTGAAGAGGGTTAAGCTTGAAGACGCCGACGAGGCTGCTGTACGAGGTTTCAAGGGCGAGATTGATCTACTACAAAAACTCAAGAACGTCGACAGAGTTGTAAGACTTTACGATTGGGAAGTGGACGAGCAACGCCAAGTGCTCAGTGTAGTAAGTGACTTTTTGTCAGGAGTCAAAATTTTAATGCTAACATACTACAGCTCATGGAACTCGGAGAATCAGACTTGGCCCGCATAATACGAATGAAGCTTGACCCCGCCGATGGTGATGGCAAACTCGACCTCAGCTTCACCCGCTACTACTGGAAAGAGATGCTTGAATGCGTCGGTGCAGTGCACGACCACGACATCGTCCACTCGGACCTCAAACCCGCAAACTTTCTCCTCACCTCCGGCCGCTTAAAGCTCATCGATTTCGGCATCGCCAACGCCATTGAAGTCGACCACACCGTAAATGTCCACCGCGACTCGCACATCGGCACTCCCAACTACATGTCCCCCGAGTCCCTCGAAGACTCTGCCGGCGGTGCCCGCGGTCTCCTCAGCAACGGCAACGGCTCCAAAGACATGGCTCTCGGCAAGCCCTCGGACGTCTGGAGTCTCGGCTGCATCCTCTACCAAATGGTCTACGGCCGCCCCCCCTTCGCCCACATCGCCAACCAAATGGCCCGCGTCCTCGCCATCGTAAACCGTGACTACAAAATCGAATTCCCAGACCTCGGCGTCGGCGATGTTCGCGTTCCCCCAGGTCTCAAAGCTACTATGCGCCGCTGCCTCAACCGCGATCCCTCGCGTCGCCCGAATATCGCACAGCTCCTGGACGAACGCGATCCCTTTTTGTACCCCGATGGCGGCGAGGACCTCAAGATTCCGCAGGAGCTGCTCGGACAGATTATTCAGCGCGTTGCGGATCGCTTCCGAGACCCGAATAAGCCCGCGCCTACTGATGATGAGATTCGTCAGTATCCAGCGAGTTTTTACGAGAAGATACGGCAGTTGCTGGAGAGCGAGTAGAGAGGTTGAAAATACTTCGCTTTTCTGCAATTTCCGGCTCTTCTTTTTCCTTCTCTGCATTCCTTGGACTCATCCTTTTGACACTTGTCCCCTTTTTTTCTTCCTTTTGGACGTTATCGCTTCTTTCTTAAGGGAAGTTGGACAAAAAAAAGAAGAGAGGAACTCCTCATTTCCTTTGCGCTTAATGATTATGAACTGGTGCTTCTGGAGCTTTATGGGAGTTTGACCATATTCTCATTGTTTTTTTTTGCCTTGCGACTGCCATTTCTCTCACCTACCTACCTACCTAGTTTTCTCTTTTTTTTGTTGGTTCTCGCAAACCGCCTCTTGCATGCGTTCAAGCGTCACCTCTTATCCTTTTCCCTCTTGTACAGCCATGGCGCAGGGTTCTTTGCTCTCTCTCTCTCTCTCCTTTGTCGGGATACGCTTTTAATGCTTCATGATGAGTTAGGAACGTAGACTTCACTGGTGACTTCACGGTTGCTCTCTTTGTATATATGGGCCGTGTTGGACAAGACATTTCTTCAATTGACTTCCTCAAATCTCTGATTCCCTTCTATGTGTGCGAAGCTGGTGGTGGTGATATGATTAGCCATCAGCTTCCACATCCCTCACTGTACTTGATGGTGCATGCCAGTGACCTCTACCCATGCTTCCATGTCCCTCACTGTACTTGACGTTGGCAGTGACCTCTCTATCTATACCAGTCCTTCCTCACTGTACTTGATGATGATGATGATGATGATAGTGACCTCTATCCATACCGGTCCTTCCTAGCGCCAACTTCTTCCATGCGCCAACTGTGCCTCCCAAGTCTAAAGGAAGTTCTTTCCATACTCCATCAGTCCGTTGGAGTCAGAGGAGGAGGAGGAAGTGGAACAACAGTGAGCGAGATATCCGTGCGGCCTGATCTTTCCAACACTTCGGTGACTTGCTCATGCAATGCCACTTGAACAGGCTCAATCTCGCTGCCGAACCAAACCAGCTCCAACTCCTTGAGGCCCTCAAATGTGCACAAGTCGCTGAGCTCAACGATGATCCATGGTTTGAGGCCAGAGTGAGGGATCTTGCCATCTCGATAGATGGCGAATGCGTCGACGAGGAGACTCACTCTGGAAATAGCGTTGGCTTGACTGCGCGTGAGGTTCTTGCACAACATCTCGATCACGTGCTCTGAGTAGCCGCTGAAGACGCTGCGGGTGAAGGGAAGCAGCCTGGTCTCTGCCCATGTTTGGCGGCAGGTTTGGATGAGTGAGAGGTTGGAGCGTGGGTACTCCCAGGTGCGGTGATCCTGCGTCTCGTACTTTGGGCTGATGCTGTCGGCATCAAAGACGTAGTTGTAGATCTTCACGCGCAGCTCGGCGGGAAGATGCAGAAGGGGAGAGGACTCCTGGTTGCGCTCATAGCTGTGCAAGTGAGGGTTTGTTTAGTTGTGCGTCGGGTTTCAGAGAGAGTGTCTTTTGTTGTTTTTCACGATGCGGCAGCGGGGGGGTTTGTAAATACTTACACTTGTTGAATGAGGTACATCAACTGTACATGGTAGCGGTACTCATGCGTATGGAGCGGATCCGACTGGGCCCTTGGTCGGGGAACCATGTTGGATAATGGTGGTGGGGCGAGGGAGGTCGGAGGGGAGAGGGAGGCAAGTAATATAGATTGTGCGTGGGCGTTTGTGCTTAGCTAATGGCAGTGAAGCAGTGAATGGTGATTAAGGCGGGTAAGAGGTGAGATAGGGTCTGTCGAGTGGCTTGGCTGCGATGTGAATTGGCAGGGAAGGCGTGATGGGAGTCGTTTGTTAGGAAGGAGACGTCATCAGATGCTCTGAACAGTGTGGCAAGGCCTCAAACCAAGTCACTGATAGGTCCCAGAATCTTAGAGTCCTCTTTACTTTTGCTGTATCTGCCAGTTCCATGCTGCTCGGGTTCATGTTTGTTTGTATTGTGGGCTGCGTTTGTCTGATATGAGATAGCGGTGTCGGACTTTCTGTCTACTGACCCAATGACACTCTTCACAGGTGCTATTTTCTTGTCTGAATTAACAATATCAGCAAGTTGAGATTTGTCTTTCTAATAAGACAAAGACTTGCCACAAAGATCGATTCTATTGAGAATAGCTAAGTCCAATGGGCTTCTGATACCCATGAGATCTGAGCAGAATCTCTCAAGTCTTATTTCAGATTTCGAAAAATAAAAATTAACCGCGATACGCTGCCTTTTGCAGTAAATGTGTCCTTGGTTGCCTTAGGCCTGTGTGCATAGCTCAGGTCAAGTGACAACTGATTGCAACAACTACACCGAAAAAGACACAAGCTTCGGCATATCACCCACCGCAGGCACAGGCCCCGTATCGAGGTCTTCTACATAATCACAGCCCACTACCACAACCTTAATATCACATGAACCCCTGATCTGCTCGAGCTCTTCCTCAATCAGATAAGCCATCCTGCCCTCCACCATATCCCAGTCATGCTCCCAATCGTGCGGACCAACCCACTCAACAGTGAGCTTACGTAGCCCGCGAAGATGACCGAGGACACGCAGCGTGGCAAGAGCATCTTTACCAAGGTTGACACTCGGGCTTCGCCGGCCAAGAGCCGGATAGTAGATCACATCGTTGCATTCAAAATACACGCGAAGATTCGTCATAGCACCGACCTGTGCATCCGTCAGGCGGTAGTAGACAGCAAGTTGCATATCCCAATGATATCCATGAAACTCATTTAGTGCAAACGGCAGGAGCCTTGTCTCTGCATGGATTTGGCGGCAGGTCGTTAGTAGGGCTAAACGCCGTCTCCGGAGGTGAAAGTAAGTCGCGAAGTGAAGTTTTCGTCCGCGAGAGCGACACTTGTGACGGCGGGTGCAATTCCTTGTGTCGCATACGCGGATCTGTGTACCGCCGAGTACATGGCCGTAAATTAGTTCCCGCACGTTGGCAGGAAGACGGAGGAAACCTGAGTCTTGCTCGATTTCGATCATAGTGCTGGATTATGTAAGTAAGTGCATGCATACATGACAGATGGAAGCAAACACCACAAAAGTGCACGTACGCGGTGTCAGATTCATCGTCTTCATAAGAGTGGGCAGAATGCTCGTAGGCGCGTGGGAATGAACGCTTAGATAGGCGCCGCTTCAGCCGATTCAAAGGATCCATCGCTTAGGACTTGTAGAGAACATGGGGGCGAGGCTGTGGGGTAGGGTCCAATCGGCAGGCATAGTTTCAATGGAAAGTGAGTGTGAGGACTTGTGATGTTATGGAATAACAACAGGGATATTAATTCAGGGGCGGCTAAAAATAGGTTATCGCCATCTCGATAAGATACCGGGGAGGAGATGGGTCACGAGATCTGCTTTTCTTGATTGCATGCATGTTCCCTGTGGCAAGTGACATGTATAAGGATGGTAGTACTACGATTCTTTGTGTGGAAAATTTTGGAGTTAGGATTGAATGCCTATAAAAGTCCCTGGTGTCCGAAAAACAGAGGATACTAATGATACAGCAGGACGGCTGTTCTTGGCGTGGACAACGCGAACAGAGCGGGGATTATTTGATGCGAGGACATCCGAAAAAAGCAATGAGCTTTACAAGGCTGTTTAATTAGTAAGTATACTGCCACCTCGTTCACGTGCTATATGCTTTGTTTTAGTCCTTCTTTGAAATAGCCTTGAAGTCCCAGTTGTTCAAGTAACCGGCACCAATCTAGTTAAATGTCAGTATCACGCTCAGCAAGCATCTCTCACAAGAGCCCTTACGCAGAGATAGGTTGCAAAGCTAACCCAGCCAAGGTATGGCGCGAGCAGCCATCCACAGACGGGATCAACTTGTCCCCAAACATTGATAAGATAGGCGATCGTCCCACCAAGAGCCAGGATGTCAGCTGAAGCAGCAATAGGTTGACCAATGCCAAAGTAGAGAGGCGTCCACAGAAGGTTCAAGGCAAGCTGGATGGAATAGAGGGTAGCTCCGTGCTGCATGTTGGTAAGTTGGGCGGTCATATTTATGGTTCAATTGAGCGGTAACATACCTCGGCAAGAGCAACCGTGTTAGGGTTCATGGAGGATGTTCCAGTGGTGTATGCGCGGTAGGCCGTGTAGCCCATGGTTGCATACAATGCTGTCCAAACCGGGCCGAAGACATAGCCTGGCGGATGTAGAGGAGGTTGCTTCAAGGTACGATATGCTGTCTGAGACACACTTGCTATTTTCAATATTAGAGCTCTTCCCAATTGCACCAGCTTGGTGAAGGACTCACGACTAATGACAAAGCCAGTAGCTGTTCCGCAGACGACCGGCAGCAGGATGGACACTGCTGGGTTTTCAAAGACAAAGCTTGGGAGGGTGAGGGAGGGGATGTAGGTCGTCATGGCTGCGCTGGGGCTCGGCTAGGGGGGTGTGATCAACGTGTACCTGCGCAAAGTATGCAATGGCCCTGGGAAAAGGTGCCTGTGGAAAAGGAAAAGCCGGCTGCACTCCGCATCTCGTGATAACCTGGGCGTCGAGCATAAAGCGGGCCTGCCAATCATCAGCCTCGGCCCTCCACGAGAGCAACGCGTTCACGAGCCGGCCCACTTTCCGCGTAGCCGTGCGGCGCTAGCCCCGTCTCAGCCGCCCTCGGGCTTCTCCAGCCGCCGCGACCAACCTCACCCTTCCTTCTGTCATCTCCATCTCCGCCGGCGTCGTTCAGCCGGGAGTCACTTTAGCACATCGTGAGTGCACGAGCTTCTCGTCCTTTGCCTCCCCCCCAATTGTTCGTACCCCGTCATTCCTCTTGTACAGCTATCTCCATAGCTCCTACTGCTTTGTCCCCGTGGCCCTGCGCCTCGGCCTCCCTCCAGCCACCTCTCTGACCTTGTCTACGTGCGCCGCTGCTCGTGTGCGATCAATCGTGCCGGGTGTCTGTGGTAGCCATCCTCATCTTGTCACTCCTTACATGCCTCTTCTCCCTCGTTACTAGTCGCGCCCTTTTCTCACCGTCTTGTCTCTTATTTGTTCCCTCTCTGACCGAGCCATCATGGCAAACAGCTACCCAGCCCGATTGCCTGTCGAGCATCCGATATACCCCATCGCATTCTCCCGGCGAGATTGCGCGTCTAAGAGAGCAAAGACCACGCGTCTGGCGCTTATGGTTGGTTGACAGTGCTACCTGTCAACTGCCTGAATACCTCTATCCTTCCCCGAGGATTCTAGACACCCGTCGTCCCACGAAGCACCCCAAATCTAAGTAGCCGAAATAATGGATTCGTATACGTAGGTTCATGCCTGACCGTCGCGCGACGAGCAATGCTGACAATTGACAGCGCCACTCACGAGGAGGCCAGACCGCCTGCCGACACATACAGGCGTCGCTCACCAGGTAGGTTCTAGATTCCTGTTTGGGGTCAGCGCGCATCTCTCGGTTATCGTATCGTGGATCTGCACATCGCTACTCTTGTTGCGCGTTTGTCTTCGAACGCGATCGTTACACACTCCATGTTTCGCCTGATTGCGCGGTCCGAAGACGTGCAGCTGCTACTATAGAGTTCATCGCTCTGGGCGTCGCGTTGACTCATCTCCCAAGCTCAGGAACCTTCTGCACCATCTCCAAGAAACTTGGCTAACATGCATTCCAAAGGCTCTGGAGACCGCAGGACTGGCAGGCGGCGGTCGCGGTCCCCCCAGAATATCGACCGTTACCAACCCGATCGTGCCCGCGATTACGATGGACCCCGACGTGATGGAAATCGCCGCCGCTCCTCTCCTCCGCCAGTACAGGCCGGCATCGACAGATATGTGCCTGGGCAAGACAACTTCGCACCGACATTTACGACAAACCCGGTCCCGAACCCCATGCATCTCGAATATCAGGTTGGATTCAACTACTTCGCCGAGTGGTGGCGCGTTGAGCAACTCATGAAAGAGGAGAAAGAACGCGCTAAGAATGGCGGTCGTAAGCCCGGTCTCAAAGGCGAGCGCGAAGCCCGTGAGGAGCGCGGCAAAGAACGTGAGCAGATCCAAGCAGCCTACGACGAGTACAAGGAGAAGCTGCAGGTGCAGATGGCCAAGACATTCGTTGAAAAGCACAAGAATGAAGAATGGTTCAAGGAGCGATATGACCCAGAGTACGACTTGGCATTCAAGGAGAAGCTTCGCCAGTACCGCCATGGTATCTACGAGGACTGGGAGCGCCAGATTGACGATGGTTACTTTGATGAATTCACACTCGAGGGTATCTACAAGAATGACTCAAACGGAGCTGGCGGCATTGTTGAGAAGGAAGAGGGAGAAACAACAGCTGCTAATGAAGTCTTAGGTGTGGGCGACCTTCTCCCATGCAAAGGCGGCGAGATTCGCGACGAGACCGCTTTCCAACCAACGCTGCTCATCAAGACAATTGCGCCAACTGTCAACCGCGAGAAAGTCGAGGAGTTTTGCAAGGAGCACTTGGGAGAGGGCCCTGGTGGGTTTAAGTGGCTTAGCATGAGCGATCCAAACCCCCTTAAAAAGTGCCACCGCATCGGCTGGGTCATTCTCAATCCAAGCGACGAGCAGCCAATGATCATTGACGATCGTGGTGACGGACGTGATGTTGATGACGAAGAAGGCGCCATGGACGTGAAGCCCGAAGTTACTCAGGGGACACAGAGTACTGCGCACAAGGCTCTCGAAGCGCTCAACGGAAAAACAGTAAACGACGAGGTCAGGGGCAACTTCACCTGCCACGTTGGTATCCATGAGCCACCTGCCGCTCCACGCAAGAAAGCGCTCTGGGATCTCTTCTCTGCGCCCGAGAGAATCGAGCGTGATCTTGAACTTGCCGAGCGACTAGTCAGGAAGCTCGATTCTGAACTCAAGGCCGGTCACGAGGATCAGTTCTCGAATGTTGACGGCGTTAGTAAAATCGAGCAGCGGGTCGAGGACCTGCGCGAAAAGGGCTGGCTTCAGCCTCCTGCAAATGCACCGGCCCCCATGAAGAAGGAGCGAGACCCAGAAGAATTGGAAGAAGGTGAAGATGAAACAATGGAGGACGATGAGGGCACCTTTGACGATGAAGTTGATGACGAGGAGCTCTTGGTCAAGAAGAAGAAGTTGGATCTGCTGATTGAATACCTGCGCCGGGTGTACAACTTCTGCTTCTTCTGCGTCTTTGAGAGCGACTCTGTCCATGAGTTGATTCGCAAGTGCGCTGGAGGACATCTTCGCCGGCCACGTGCTAGTCTTACTACGGCTGCAAAGGCGACGGCAAAGGCCACAGCTTCCGGAGAACCGTTCCCTTACAGGAAACAAGAAGCGTCAGGCGAGGCTGAGAACGGAGAGAGTGGAAGTCCAGTACAAGAGCGCAAACCTATGCGTTTGAGCACCAAGAACCAACAGCAACTGCAGCGGGCTTTCAACTGGGTCAAGACATATGAAGAAAAGCTCCTTCAGCTGCTTGAGCCTGAAAACGTTGACATTCGCAAGCTGGGCGGCAAGCCGCTGGATGAAGCGATAGAAGATGAGCTTGCTCGATATGTGAAGCAAGAAGACGAATCTAAGTGGCGATGCAAAGTTCCAGAGTGCACCAAGCTATTCAAGGGCGAACATTTCTGGCGCAAGCACATTGAGAAGCGTCATCCTGAGTGGCTTGAGCAACTACAGAAGGACGTAAGTACTTGTGGGGATTATCCTAACGGTTGGATTTTGCTAATTCGAATACAGCTGCGCCTTGTGAATAGCTATGTTCTCGATCCTGCACACATTGCGCCGTCGCGCAGCGATGCCAATAGCAACGGCCACTTCCCAATGGGTAACCATGTTCAGGCGACTGGAACTCCGCGAGGATTCAACCTGGCCAACATGAGCATGGCGATGGCGGGAGGCAATGGAATGCAGAATGGAATGCACATGGGCGGCATGTTCAATCCTGCCATGGGCGGCACCTGGGACCCTGCTGCTGCTCATGATGACCGTGCAGGACCTATGCGACGGGGCGGCCATCGCTTCAACAACCGTACAGGGCCTTACGACCGACAGGCTCGTGATGGACGTAGTCGACCGGCTGTTAACGGCGGCCGTCTGACACCTCCACGCGGTACGCGACCCGGACCTCAACGCTACGGCGAAGGTGGACCTGGACCTGTACAGTCTGTGCAAGGTCGATCTATTAAGAGTTACGAGGACCTAGATGCGGTTGGCGGAGGCGGCGGCGGAGAGCTCAATTACTAAGCTCTGTAATTAGTGTGGGGTCCCTGCAGCCACGGTCACGGTGTAAGATGGTAACAGGGTCGGCGTTGACAAGGCTGCTTTTTTCTCTCTCTCTGTTATCCCTGATTGAAGGCTTCCCCAGATTGCCTTGATAGTTTGCTTGGGAAGGATAGGTACTGGGCGGTGTCTTGAGAATGTTTCATCATTGACTGTGGTCTGGGCTTGTTTAGGCCCATGGGGGGATTGTGTATGTACGTCTAAGTAAATAAGCCCAAATCCAGATTGATAGCCACAACAACCGGTTGGCAGGTGCAGAGTCATTGTAGGTAAGCAAGTTTTCAGGGGGCATCGTCATATGAGCACTAGAGGTGCGAAGAAAGCTGCAATGTGACCAGGTTGGGCATCAGCCATGGGGTGGAGCCAACACCCGCCAGGAACCGAGACAGATGCAATGACTGGGCCAATGGGCAGGACATGTGCAATATCAGTTTTTGTTGCATGCACAAGGCTATCCTCGCCGCCAAGGGAGAGCTTTTGGCAGGCTAAGCGATGCGGCGGTTGTGATTGATGAGATGGTGGAAGCCAGTGAGATCAGACTCGGGCCGGCCAGGCGTAAAAGGTGACAAGACAAAGCCGCCCCCTATGCAGCGTCAGCATGAGCGAGGGGAATCCATCCTGTTGTAAGATAAGGGACGGGGAGTGGTAAGCAGAGCAGGAGGGAAATGAAGTTGTGCACGCGGCCAAGGCGCAGAGATGCCGTGCCATCCTAGAGCAGCGTCGTGGATCCTGACGGGCCCATACGTAACCGGGATGGTGGGCGGGGATTGCGTCACTCAGCCACAGATGAGTGCGCCGCCGACCTTCGCTGCAGTTCCGTCAAAGCCCTTTTGAAGGGCAACAACGGGCGGTGCAGGCGGTGCAGGCGGTGCAGGCCCCATTCCGCCTGCTGGCCTCCGTTGCTGTGCCCACATCTCCACACTTGCACCAGCCTCAGACGCAGCCACAAGCACAGCGACGTGCTATTCCGGGCGTCATAAACACGCGTCGATCCCCCCCCCCGCCAGATCGCTTCAGGCTACCTTTTTGCATGCGCATTTTTATACCGTGTCGCCCTTTGCTCGCGTCGAAGCTCCTTAGCCCGGGTCGGCCTTACCCCTACAGTGGGTGGTGGTACTACTATTAATTCAGGCACGCCCACCCATTCCAACCCCCCACCTACCATTCAGCTCAGCGGCGCTACCCAGCCCATCACCATGAGTCCCCAGACTACCGCAAGCCACCTCACTGAGCCGGACCGGCCAGCCCACCCAACCCGCAATGACACCAGCTACTCCAAGTTTTCCGTCTTGTCCGTGCCGCCTGAGGGTTCCATCTTGACCGGCAAGCAGGAGCACTGTACGCCCTCCTCTTCCAGGCACATAATACCCAAAGTCACTAAACAAACATGCAGACCTCAAGCGTGAACTCATATCGAGACAGACAAAGTACGAAATATCCGAGCTTTCCTCTCCTACGGCTTTGAGGCGCTTTGGCGCACCCTTTCGCTCGGATGCAGGCGAAGTTGCGCCCGAAGATTCTGAACTGCCCCTCCTCCGCTACATTTTTGTCAACCATGTGCGAAATTTCCCCTTCTTGGACAAAGCCAAGGAAAAGGAGTTCTGGCAGGACAAACTTCAAGTCGTACGTTGCATGAGGCCAGAACCCGTGGACAGGGAGCTGACAACAGTGCCGCCCTAGTTTTTGGAATCGTTCGCGAGCAAAGACATTTCGTCTTCAGAGGACCGCCTCGAGGAGACCAAGCGAAGGAAACTGGCACTCAAGGCCGAGAAGTTGGTCGAGCTCATGATGGTCTCCGGTATTCCGACCGCGTCGGGCTACGAGGAGAGAATTCGCTTTGCAGAAATGGAAATCGTCGACCGACAAGCTGACGAAAAGGGTCTCACGATGAATGCGCCGAGCGGTCATTCTATTAATGGCTGGGATGTAAACGTTGCGGGCGTCAGGACAACATCGGTGAAGAGACACCTTCGATATCATACACATGCAGTAAGTCAATGTCTGCGCATAATGGCACAAGTCTAACATAAGAACTCTAGGAGTACATTATACGTGTCAGACAAGGACATGGCCAAGATATTTACATTGGTCGTCGATATGCCGATTTCGTTCAATTACACAAGCGGATACGCCTTGAGCTCCCCGGCAAGGTTCTCGCTCCGCTACCCCGGAAGAATGCCAAAGATGGAATCCTACAATCAAATGCCGATGACGACGAAGTTAGTTCCATCTCCTCGGAATCTACTCAAGGACCGCCTCCTATCGAATCCAATGAGAGCAGCGGTGGTGGTGGTGGTGGTGGTCTTAGGAGCTACATTTTTGGTGGCGGACACAAGAAAAATGCATCGCAAAGCTCACTAGGAAAGCGTTCACCACGGCCTTCAGGGGAGTTTTCTGGATACAAACCCCCTCGCAAACTGTACCGAGAAGAGCAGCGTGTTTCCCTTCGTGCGTTCTTGCGATCATTCTTGCACAATGAGCGGATTGCACACTCAAATGCCATGGCTGAGTTTCTCACACGCGACCCTATAGAAATCAATGAAGAAGAAATGGAGGACATTCAGAGACGAGAAGAAATGGACCAAAGGCGCATAGAAGAGCAAAAGCAATTTTACGAAGTCGCACGACAACGAGCAGCAGAGCTCGATATTCATATGGAGAAGTTCAGACGAGAGATAGTAGAGAGCAATGGACTTTCTCATCTGTTTCAGGAGATCAGGGTTAAAAACAGTATCAGGGAACTCAAACCGGAGTATCAAAAGTTTGCCGAGTGGCTACGGATAGAAGTTGCTGCCACTCTCTACCACTTGTTCTTGGCAGAAGACAATTCCCCGGAGCTTTTTGCCCAGGCGAAACGCATACATTCTTTAGTGCCATACGGCGTTCTAAAAAACGTCATCAGGATTGCCAACCCGGCAGCCGTCATGAGCGGAGTTTTGGATCTTTTCCTTGCACAGCCCTTCGGCGCTCGATCGCTTTTGCAGCGTATATTTGGCATGGCTATCAACGATGGCGTTAACTCTGTGCAAAAGACCATCACCATCCTCGCATCAACAAGGATCAAGGACGATGTGCTCTGCGACAAGATTAAAGCATACGTGCAAGCTGATGAGGGTGTAAAGGATATTATCCGTCAGGAGGCTGCGAGCGAGAATGTGGATGTTGTGGTCACCATATTGCGATCAGAGTACTTTCAACCAGAGCTGAGCCCGCAGCAGGTCGAGAAGGTATTCAATGCTTATGTTGCCTGGAACAACGCAGTCGAAAATGTGAGATCGAGACGGCTTAGTCGAACAGCTAGCCGGCGAAGCACTACCAGCACATCAACTAACGCGACCGATCAGGTCGAAAAAGAAATGCGCTCAGGCGCAGAGCTCTTCGCTCACCTTAAGCAATACCTGAAGCTCTGCTTACGTCAAAGAGATAAGCTTATGATGCTTCAAATCATCGAGGAGGTAAGCTTGTCTAAAACTAAGATTACACTAACAATGACTGATGGATTATAGCCGACAACACTGCAACTATTCCGGGATTTGTTCACCATCTTTTATGAACCCTTGGTTCGCGTCTACAAGTCTGCGAACGTCTACAACAGTATTACTGACTTTGCCCTTTTCGCCGATGACACTATCAAGACGATTGAAGCATGCCAACGACAGGAAGTCTCAGCTGACCCCAACCAAACCGTTCAAGCGTTTATCGATTTGTGCGCCCGTCATGAGGACAATTTCTACAAGTTCGTTCACGAAGTGCACAAGCACGACAACGGTCTTTTTGACCAACTTATGGGCTGGCTGGAGGGCATCTTGGACTTCTTGCGCCATGGTCCTGGAAGTGGTGGTAAGCTCGACATGAATGCACTCTTCCGGGGCGCTATAGACTCGAACTTGATCGACAAGGAAAAGGCAATTAGCGAGATCAATAGTTTGATCAAGTGGCAAATGGCCAGGAAGAAGTGGCACTCGGACAAGACGAGGCAGAAGATGGCGAGCGGGGACGAGCCTGATCCACTGATTGGCGGTATTGCTGGCTTCAAGTCTAGCGACTTTGGCCTCAACGCGGTTTGTTCTCACCAACCCATGAAATTCGCGCTTGCGTACTAACACTGTTGCAGATGGATCTCCAAGACCTTGAACTTGATGACAACGGCAGCGATTCAACCGATTCGGAAGACATGGATGATGCAGACGTTGCAGACCCGATTGAAGCTGAGCGCAAGAGTAGAGCCAAAGCTGCGGACCGGTTACGCAGGAAGGCAGGCGAGCCTGAGAAGCCGCATATCGAAGAGCTATACAAGCTCAACGATAGTTTCAACAGCATGCTTCGAAGCGTACTTGCGTCCTGAGCCGATTACAACCTCGTCCGGAGATATGTGGATAATCTTTACTCTCTCCCTGTCCTTCTGAATGGTATTACTTTATAGAATTCTATTATGCAAGAAATATATTTTAATGAAACAATGAACACATGTCCTCATCGCTGCACACGGACTCGATGCTCACTCGGATGATGGCGCAGTGCACCGCCACTTAATCTAGGAACGAGCCTGCCCAATGCACGTTAGCGCGGCTGCACCGCGTGGAGCTAGTGATCAGTCGCATAGCTGTCCTTTAGTGCCAGCCGAAGTGTCGCAACATCCACGCGTTGAATTGCTTACCCTTTTCTCTTTTCTGTACAATGATCTGGCGACTCCGGCACAGGCAGTGCTGATCTTCGTTCTTTTTCCCTTTTTTAAACCACTCGGCAACGTCAATTGCCCCTGCATCCTCGAGTCAACTCAGCCGACCGTTTAACGCACGGCTACTCCCTGGATACTAAGACGACACTGAGTAGGACCCTTTCACCCCACCACCTCGGCTGTTGTCTTGCTTTCTCTCTGAGGGTGTCGCAACCTCGACCTTGGATCCATTGTCCGGAACATTTACAGTAAAAACTATCCTGCAGTGGTAGCCCACCATCATGCCCGCCAAATCGCGATTCACGAGGCTAGACGCCTTTACCAAAACGGTCGAAGATGCGCGCGTTCGTACAACCTCTGGAGGAATCGTCACAATCGTGAGCCTGTTGGTTATCTTCTGGTTAACGTGGGGCGAATGGGCCGACTATAGGAGAGTGACTGTTAGGCCCGAATTAGTCGTAGACAAGGGACGAGGCGAGCGCATGGAAATCGCGTTGAACATATCGTTCCCGCGAGTACCATGCGAACTGATTACGCTAGACGTCATGGATGTCTCTGGAGAACTACAGATGGGTGTAACACACGGTATCAACAAGGTTCGATTGGGCCCGGAGAGAGAGGGTAGCAAGGCCATTGAAATCAAGGCCCTAGATCTGTAAGTGTACTTGGAGTTCTATCTCTGAAGTGGGGCTACATACAGAGAGGGGCAAAGCATACTAACCACGCTTCTAGGCATGCCGATGAAGCCTCCCACCTTGCCCCTGATTACTGCGGTGAATGTTTTGGCGCACCCGCCCCTGCCAACGCGAAGAAGCCCGGTTGCTGCAACACCTGCGACGAAGTGCGTGACGCCTATGCTTCCATATCATGGTCCTTCGGTCGTGGAGAGGGTGTCGAACAATGCGAGCGGGAGCACTACGCAGAGCATCTTGACGAGCAGCGCCAGGAAGGATGCCGTCTCGAAGGTAGCATCCGTGTCAACAAGGTCGTTGGAAACTTCCATATCGCTCCCGGAAAGTCGTTCTCCAACGGCAACATGCACGTGCATGATCTGGAAAACTACTTCAAAGACGAATATGCGCATACTTTCACGCACAAGATCCACCAGCTCCGATTCGGTCCTCAGCTGAGCGATGTAGTTGTTCAGGGTATACAAGATAAGCACCGAGGTTCCGGCCCTGGTAGCTGGTCGAATCACCACATCAACCCCCTTGACAACACCGAGCAGCATACTGACGAAAAGGCTTTCAACTTCATGTACTTTATCAAGGTTGTCTCGACAGCTTATCTGCCCCTTGGCTGGGAGGACGCTGCTCCTCGCCTCACCAAGCATGATGAACTCCTCGGCTCTACCATCGATGCTTCGCACAAGGGTAGCATTGAGACACATCAGTACTCTGTAACGAGCCATAAGCGAAACCTGAAGGGTGGCAATGATGAACAGGATGGACACAAGGAAAGGATTCACGCTCGTGGTGGTATTCCAGGTGTCTTCTTCTCTTACGTAAGTCATACCTTGTTCTTCAATATACAGGTGAGACACGGCTGCTAACCCCTGAATAGGATATCTCACCCATGAAAGTCATCAACCGCGAAGTCCGTGAAAAGACCTTCTCTGGCTTTCTTGTCGGCCTTTGCGCCGTGATTGGTGGTACACTTACTGTTGCTGCTGCTGTTGACCGCGCCCTATACGAGGGTGTGAACAGGATCAAGAAGATTCATTCCCAGTAGTCATAAAACTATCGTGAAACCATGAGAGAAGCGCAGGACAGATGCCATGTCTTGCTGCTTTCATGTAGGGATATTTTTGCGGAGTTCTGGAGTTTGCATTGCTGGTCTAAAGCGAGTTAGATTCGTAGACTGAGATGAAGTCTGTGGGGGGCTAGGTGTGGGCAGAGGTGTAGGAGGATAGAAATTTTCCGGTTCAGGGAACGAACAACTTTTGTATTATTTAGGTTAGGCAATCAAAGAAGAATTCTACGTATCAATATGCATCGCTCGCTGAGTCTGGTAGATGAGAAAATGTCCGTTCGTTTACATGGCAGCGCCATTTGCGGATGTTGCATAGTGGCGACTGTAGAACTGCCTACAATTCAAACGCAGAAAGACAACAACTGTGGAATGTGAGCCTTCATGTTGGGTACCTTGCTTCAAGAGTGAAACGGAGAGTCGGTGGTTTCGCGCCATTGTTTGCAGATAGTTTATTGGTTTGGCTGGCGTAGACGTGTCTAGGCTGCTACCAATTGTCTCAGAAAGAAGGCTGCGATATAAAGTGCGCATTATAGCTTTGATGATTGAGCCTTCCAGATTTACAAATATCAGAGAACTACTGCGTATCCAATATCATATGTTACATATTTGTAGTGAAGAATGAGAGAGTGTGAAGATGTAGGAGTACCAAGGTGTCGTTCGACGTCGGAAGAGTCATTGGCGTTGACCAATGAGAAGTGTCTTAGGATGACATCGTGGCTTGGCGGCGCACGGCCAGTCAGCCTTTATATACGGCTCCATCATCAGTCAACTTGCTTACACACCTCCACATCTCTCTCACACTCGCCCAAACCCACTGGAATCATTTCAGCAGCCATGAACGACCAGCCCCGAGGACGAGGACGTGGCCGTGGCCGCGGCCGTGGCAACTGGAGTGTCTCTTTTACACCACAGAACAACGATGGCGATCAGATGATGGTTGATGGCGACTCCTCGCGTGGACGAGGTCGAGGCCGAGGACGTGGGAGAGGTTTTAGAGGAGGCCAAAATCACTTCCAACACGACAACCGCTCACGAGAGCCACCTATCGATATCGAAAAAGTCAAGTCAAACCCATCCTACCCACTTATGGAAGGTTTTCTCGGGCGCCGTTACGATGCAGCCAACAAGCTACTCAATCTCTCCGCCATTGCCAGCGACCAGGAAATCCTCCAATCCGGCGTATTCGCCACAGAAGGAGCCCAAAAGAAGTTTTTCCCTGCCCTTATGATTGTTTGCGACGCCATCCTCGAGACTCAGGAAGCAAAAGAGCAAGCGATCCACAGCGTTACAATGTCTGGCAACAATCTTCAAAATACGCACGCTGTTTACCAACTCTGTAATCACTTTCGCCACATTCAGAACCTTGACTTGAGCAACAACGCTTTTGCGACGCTGGACGCGCTCAAGCCATGGAAAGGCCGTTTCAGAAACGTCGAACATCTCATCATCGATTCATTTCCCTCGTCAAACTGGGAAGACGAGATCATCTCGTGGTTTCCCAAACTCAAGATTCTGAACGGCAAACAAGTGCGTCCCGGCGTGGCGCCAGGGGCAAATGCACAGCCACAGCAAATACCCCAATCCAACACCCCAGTACCCGCAGCCGCAACAATGGATCCAGAGCAGCAGAGAAAAGAAGAAATGATTCTTTACGTTCAGCGCGAAACCAATCTCACACGCGACTACGCAATTCAGTGTCTGGAAGCGGGCCAGTGGAACCTCGAGCAAGCAGGTGCTTTATTCGCTCAAAGTCGCGATTCTCTACCACCGGAGGCTTACAACTAAGGATCGTCTACCCAAAAGCATGAACGCCATCGACATGTGCTTCTCCTGTGGGCCTAGGAACACGATCATGTGCTCCACTTGAGGTTGTTGAGTGGAAGAGAGCTCGTCCAATAGGGCACGTCGTAAACATTACAAGAACGACTGCCTGTATATGACGATCGGGACCCAAAAAAAGAGGAGGACCCCTACACTATTGCTGTATCAAGACCAAACCACGCGAACTCGAAATCCTACACTTCTTCTCATCCACACGTGTACCAGTAGTCTTTCAGCACATATGGCCTTCCTCACCACTACATACAAAACACGCTATGGAGCTTCGACTTCTTACCCAGCACATACATACAGTACCACCCACCTCTTCCCTCCCACCCACGAAATCCACCAGCGACATCTCTACTATTGGATACCGCCTTGTCTACCCTCCACACCCATCCACTACGAAAGCGCAGAGCGCTCTTTCTTCTTCTTCTTCTTCTTCTTCAACAAACTATCTTTCTTGTACCTGAAGTCTAAATAGCACACGCTCAGCAGAGCTTAGAGCATAGCATGGCGTCCCTTTTTGTTCCAATTCTTTTGCTGTCATTTGGACAAAATGTTGTCAAGCGAGCAGGAGATAGGGTATTGGGAATAGTCATGCAGGTAGATCATTCCGGGATGAAGGGAATTCAAGGGTTATGTAGGGATAAGGAAGGATGGCGAGGGATGTGAAGGGCAGAATACCTATGTAGATGGGGGAAGAAATGAAAACTCGTGTATGATAGAGCATTTTGGTCTTCTCAATATTTCACTAATATCTATCGTGATGCGCTCAGCAACTTACAAAAGCACTTCATACATACCATGTCTTCACTCACAGCAAAAAAGATACACAAAAAGCCTAAACAGACAAGAATCTTGCTTCAGGCCCCCAAGCCGAGCAACCATGCAATTCATTCATCTCATATGCTCTACCAAAAACATTTTGTCGAAGAATTAGAAAGATATTCGTTACATACAGTCAGTTTTAAACAACCGAAAAAAAGAATAAATCGCTCAACTAATGACTCTTCCTCTGCACATTAGCCAACGCACTGTTGAGCGCAGCCGTAACATCCACATGGAATAACGGCCTATTCAGTCCCTGCACCACCGCTACCCGTCCTCTGTGCCTTGTCCCCTGACCAACTTCATATGCCTTGCTGTCCTCAAGCTGCTTGTTGAAGCTTCCAGTCTCCGAGGTAGCAGAATCGGAGATATCTGCTGCTCTGGCTCCGTCACTACCGCCGCTGCCACCGTGCGCGGCTTCAACATCTTGAGTACGGATCTGGGATAATGTGCGTTGAGCAAGCAGGTTCTGGCGGGCTTCAGCCTGTGCGGCGGCAGAGTCCGAGCCGCCGATTTCTGCGACACTGAAGATGGGTTTCCAGCGGTGGGCGATGCCATTTTCGGGGAGGTCGGGAGTGTAGTAGCCGAAGCCTGCGGCGGCGAGGGAGCGCTTGGTCCAGCGGTTGTTGATGTTGCAGAAGTGCCAGTCGACTGTGTCGGGGGCGGCGTATTTGTCAAGCTGGTTGCGGACGTCGATTAGGTTTTGGATTGCAGTGAGGTCGACGTTGTTGACCGAAGAGAAGTCGAGGATGATGGCTTTGAGAGTCGGTCGGTTGTCCTCCACGGCAGTGTCCTTGCCGCGTCGTGGGCCAGGGTCGTTCCATGGACGATCACCCAGTGTGCCGTAGGTTGCCTGATTGGTACGGCGGGTTTTGGCGAATATGGTGTCAGTGAGCTGATCGAGGTAATGGTTTGCATTAGGGTAGTTGAAGCCTTCGCTAAAACGGTAGATGAAAATACCCGGGTATGGGTCCTCCAGTTCGATGGTAGGGTTGGACCCATCCCTGTGGTCGATAGGAAGGAAAACTTCGCGGATGGAATGCTCTCCCTCAAGTGGCTTCTGTCTTGAGTTGGGTGATCTCTTGTCGTCATCCGTTGGGTCAAGAATATGGTCTCCAACGACGGAGTGAATCTTGGCTCGTCCCATGAAGCGTCCCCTGGCTTTGAATAGACGGAAGGCGAACATGCCAGCAGATACAGACACAGTAACATAGATACCATTTTCAATACTGGAGAAAATGGTAACTATCACGCCAATGAAGAAGATAAAAACTTCAAGTGGAGAGATTCTCCAGAACTGATACACTGTGTTCGGTGGCGTAATCAAGTCGAGTACAGCATGAATAATCACTGCTGCTAATGATGCGTTCGGGATGTACCAGAACATGGCAGGGAGTGCGTAAATGGCGAGCAACACTACCAGAGCGGTAATTACACCTGCGAAAGGAGTGCGGACTCCAGCTTTGGACTTGATAGCAGTACGGGAGAAAGAACCGGTTGCAGGATAAGCTCCAAGAAAGGGACCTAGGCAGTTGGATACGCCTATGGCCACCAGCTCTTGGGAAGGGTTGATAACGTAGTTGTTCACTCTGCCAAAAGACTTGGCGATAGAGATGTGTTCAATGAGAAGCACAATAACTGTGGATGGTAGTTCTGTGGCAAAAGACTTGATGATCGGAATCGTAACCTTTGGTACGCGAGCGTGTTGGAAACCTCGGGGAACCGTTCCTAGTGTGGAAACAATGGGTTTGGTTCCGTTAGCCCTGTGCGACCGGTTTGCCAGATAGCTGAACAGAATGTACAGCAGAATGACAAACACAGTGCGAAGCGTGTTCAAAAAGAAGAACACCCTAGCTTTTGCTGGGAAACGTTTTGCAAGCTGGCCACAGGCGAATCGGATAGCATACAAGAGGAAGAGACATGTAAGACCGAAAGCTGCATTGAGATCAGTGCGTCCAAGATGCTTCAGAGAGTTGATAATGACTTTGTATGTGGCCTCCCTCGTAGAAAAGCCTTTGATTCCCATCATGGTCGGGAACTGTCCAGCAGCAATGCTGATGGCAGAACCAGTCATGAAGGCTGAGATTGCAGGTAGAGAAATGAGGTCGACAATCCAGCCTAGCCTTATGAGACCGAGAAAGAGGACAATTGAGCCGGCAATAATGGCCAATGCAGATGCGATCATGTCTCGTGAGATATCTTGGCCAGCCAGTTTCTTTTCTGCCGATAGCACAACACCGCCCGTCACTGTAGAAAGGACAGCGACAGGCCCGATGGTAATGTCCTTGGAGGTAGCGAAGAACCAGTAGATGAGCACGCCCATGAAGGAGGAATACAGTCCGAACTCGACGGGGAGCTCAGCGAGCTTTGCGTAGGCCATGCCCTGAGGCACGACAACTGCACCAACGGTGATGCCTAGAACATGTGAGCATTGCGACGGTAAGGATCTTGTGTATTGACATACCAGCAACAAGATCCCCGATTAACCATTGCATATTGTAGTGAGTTATCCAATGAACAAAAGGGAATAAGCTGTACACGTATTCACCGAATTCCCGAGCGCTGGGAACAACCTCCTGAAGCCATTCCCGCGCTGTTGGCTCTTCCTCAACATAGATGTCGGCAGAGTCGACAGTAAACACACTCTCGCCTCGTGTGACACGGTCCGAGCCGGTCTCGTTCCGGTAATGGAGATCGATACCCAAGACCTTTGCCAGGCCTTGGCCAACTTTGTTGGCTGTTGAAGCCATCGTTGATTGGACGTTACTCCAACTTGAACGTGGATTTGTGTACCGGGTCAGCCTTGGAATGCCAAGTGCTTGAGGTCCAGTACCAGGGAGTTGGACAAGACCAAGAAGGGTTCAAACAGGTGCGACAAGAATATGTCGAAGGCTAGTCGGAAGCTTGTCTCTTTAAGACGGCGGGGGGAGGTCGAAAGTGTGGGATGGTAATGATTTGGTGCTGATCCTAAATGCCGCAGCTGAAGCGAAGCTTCCCAAGGGCTGCTTGCAAACGTAGATGGCGTCCGAAGATGGTGGGTGTGAGTAGGACCGAGGCTGTGACAGCGTCTCGATATTACTCTAGTTGCTGTGCTGATTGCGTGATCGCTTTGACCACCAAACAAGCTATCCAAATATGTAAATAGTGGTGGAGCTTGTCGAATTACGCGACCGGCAAATACTCAGTCTACGGGATGCAAGGGCAATGAGGGCACTCCGAGGACCGGAAGTACATGAGGCTGGGAGAGTAATATCTTTACGCAAAACCCGCATGGGTAAAAGTTTGAGACAAGTGACAGCATGGCTGAACATGCCGACCATGTGGCCACAGATTGTAAGCAACAGTGACGCCTTTCGCCGCATTTCCGGCTTCAAAATGGGTCCAGGTCCGCAAGGGTGTGCGGGCGTGACGGCAGGGATGGTGGGTGAAGGATGTGATAGTTGGACCTGGCTCGCACTAGTACCCAATAAAAGCGGATAGGGCCCGTATTGCGTGCTCGGAAGCAGAGATGTCGACTTCAGCGTGGGACCGTTGCCAAAGAACCTTATTTGCATAGTACACGGTGTGCTAGAGCTTGTGCGCAATGGCAAGCTGAAAATTTCAAAGCATCGACTACCGTGTCTTCAAGCCGTCTGCTTTTCCGCGGATGTAGTATGAGGTTTGCTCCACTGCAAGCTGCGCAGGGCTGCTGGACTCTATGGAGCAGACTGGACTTGATAATGACGCAAAAAGTAGCCCGAAATCGTTAGGATGGTGATCCCCATCTTGAGCGTGCTCTTTGCCCAGCATGGCGTTCATGTTGTTGCGATATTCCAGCTGACGTCACATCGTGTGCGAAGTCGGTACCACGGCATCGTTGAGACGGCGCTTGAAGTCCCAACGGGAACTTGCATCCATTCCAGGGCAAAAGCTGTCAGGAACAATATGCACTATTATGGTAGACTGGGGCCATGTCTAGTGTGGACAAAGAGTGCGTAAGTTTGTGGGTTCAATTAAGGTTTCTTCGGAGGATTGGAATGAATGGCAGCCGCCCGTGGGGGACTTTGCTTGTGACTTGAGCGCACGGACTCAGTTGAATGTGGGGGTGCCTTTTTTCAGGGCAGAGAGACACATGGGATGCATGCTGCTAATTTCCAGACAAATATGTGCCAACACAATGGCATTTTGATCCTTCATGTGCATTCCACTGTTGGTGTATTGAGTATGCATGCCTCGGCTGAGAATCACATGGCTTCTTCCTCTGGCCCAGAGTTCCAAAACAACGACTAAAGACATGCCCAAGTCTACGCAGGTGGAGTACAAGTTCTCTTCACACCCACTATATCTCTTCTTTTTAAGAAACCACGAGAGAATCAGGGCATGGCAATCTCAAACAAGTCCATAGCCATGGACTCCGCGTCATTGGGGCGAACAGATCTGCAAGCGGGCAATCTCTGCTCTAATTATGGGGCCTTTCCGCTGCCTAGCTCACGATGCCTGGAAGAAGATGGATGTCTTTCCACTTTCCCCACAGAAACCTCGGAGGGAAATCGCCGGAACCGCTGATTCCTTCATGTTACGCATATAGTTTTAGCGGGGCAGCATAACACATATGCTATGCTCGCTAGAACTTTGCTTCATGTAGGCGAACTTGATGAGACCGCCTTTGACCACTACTACATGTGAACAGGGCATCACGTGATATCATTTGGACATCGGAACTCAGCAACAGAACAAGGAATGTAGCCTTTTATTTGGCAATAAAAATAATACAGGCAAATACTCCATACTTGGAGCACGGTTCCATACGCCATCCATAGTTTTTTCCCTATATGAGCCTAACTCAAACCTAACCCCTCTTCCTCGCCTTCTTCTCCCTCTCATACGCATTCTTCTCTCTCCCCTCCTCACCCTGAATCTCCGCCACAAGCCTCCTGTACTTAGTCTCATACGCCCGATCCTTCTCCTTCTTCTCCTTGAGACTCTCTCTCGCAATGAAGTTGGCATCCTTGCGCAACTCGCGCATCGCACCTTTCCTCTCGCGCTTGTACTCCTTCTGCAGCTTCTTGGCGTCTGAGCGCTCCTTGTCAGGGTCGTAGTGGCGGTTGGGATCGAAGGATTCTTCAAATTTGGGAATGTTGGATTTGATGGGGAGAGGTCGGTGGTTGTGGAGGAGGAGAGGACGGCGTTTAGAACGTGCGAGGGAGATACGGGCTTGTAGGTTTTGCAGGGTGGAGGTTTGCTTGGCTGACTTGAGGGGGCCAAGGAGGGGTGTGAAGACTTCGACGAATGAGGCTGAGGTGCTCCAGAGTTCGGCGGCTGTAATGATGTTCTTGCTGTGTGCCGTGAGAAGCGCTGCTGTAGCGTGCTCTGAGGCCAGACAGAGACCAGTGTAGCGGATGAACTCAGGAATGTATCGCTTTGATAGCCTTTGGTAGTGGAGACATTGTGCGCCGATAAAAGCGCCAGTAGCAACGTCTTTGGTCGAGGCTGGCGAGGTAAGACCCATCCAGCGTGCCATCAGGGTTATGGCAGGCGTAACGACTTGATGGAAGTGATCAGAGGTAGGAAAGATGGATCCTATCGCTGATAGGACAGCGAGATCTCCAGGCGTAGGATCATTCGAGATCTGCAATTGCTTCAAGTGTTGTCGAAACTTGGTCGCAATCTGAACAGGGTATGAGCGCGACATGGAGTGAACATGTCGAATGATGGACTCGATGACTGCCAATGGAGCGGCTAGAGTCTCGTTCGCAAGGTACGAGACATGGTCAATGAGTGCGCAAGCAAAATCAGCAAGTTTGTTCTTATTGTCCGCATGAAGACCGGCATGGTAAAGCGCACGTATCCTTTGGATCACAGTCGAAGTGTCGTTGTGGGCAACTCCCTTGAAGACCTTCAACAACTCTTCGTGTGACCGAGGGCATGCATACGTAAATGCCAGCTTCGATGAAGGCTCGGTACTCAGAGTAAGCACGCCGTTGACAGCCTTTGGTTGCTCCTTGCGCTCTGGCATGACGTCCTTGAGGAAATCAGCGTCTTCGTCGTCCATGGCCATGGTGTCGTCGATAGCGGAGCCAGCATCAGACTCTTCGTCGGAAATGTCAGCCTCGGAATCGGTAGCGACGAGATCATCGTCCATGATGAAGTCATCCTCGTCTTCCACACCCTCTGGTCGGAGCTGACCCGGAACTTTTAACCCAAATTCGGCAGCGTCGTCCAGAAGGCTATCCTCATCCTCCTCGGGCTCATCGGCGCCGTTCTTGCGTGGCTCCTCGTCATCACTGATCGCTTCTCCACGCATCCTCTTCATGCGCTTTTGCTCGAGCTCCTTCAGTCGGTCAGCCTCCTCCTTGGCCTTTTCCTCCTCTGTCTTTGTCCGCTCTGTCGGCTTTGCACGCTGATCCTGCAGCAATTGGCGCACTCTGGTATCGTACTCCCTATCCTTGTCCTGTTGCGTAGTTCCAGCAAGTAGTGCCGCACGATCGGCGTTCATTCCAAAGTCGTCAAGCTGCGAACCTTTGGGTGCTTCAGGTTCCGGCTTCTTGTTGATGTGTCCTCGCAGCGCAGTCAGAACATCGTTGAGATCCTTGTCGAGCTCATCTCTCAGTTCATCGTCGTCCTCCTTTTGTGCCTGACGTTCGTACTTGTGCTGCTTCGACTTGGCTATGACCTCCTTCATGACCTCCTGCTTGCTCTTCTTCCTCTCCGGCTGCTCCTCTGCAGGGACATCGCCTTCAGCCTCGCCATCCACATCGTCTCTTCGCCTCTTCTTTTTCAGGAAACCATCCTCGTCGTCGCTTGACCCAGCGATACTAGCTGCGTCGTAGTCTTCCTCACCAATCTCGTCATCAAAACGTAGCGACTGCCCGCCGTGCGTAAGCTCGACCTCGTCAGCGTCGTCTTCGAGATCAAACACATTGCCGCTCCTCTTGCGCTGCTGCTCCCGCTCAAAGCGCGCCATCATTTTGTCATCCAGACTCATTGTCGGGTCATCTTCTCCTATCCGCCTGTCGAGAATGCCTCCGACCTTATTCTTGCGATGCATCTCCGGCAACAGCGACTTCCTGCGGGCCTCCTCGCCCTGGCTCTTAGTGACGCCAGGCCTGCCGAGAACCTTTTTGGGCGCATTCTCCGCCTGCGCAGAGACATACTCATGCTTATGTGGGCGCGCAAGGTGCTTGAACTCGAATGGATTGAAAGATTCGCGGATCGATGCGAGTGCAGAGGCTCTTCGCTGGTGGTGTTCGGCGTTTTTGGACTGCGACTTCTTCTGTTTCTTCGACTTTTGCGGACCAGTGATGCCCTGTTCGCGCAGCGAGCTTTTCAGCCGCTTCAATTGGGAAGGCGGCATTTTCCCGGTGTTAATGTCTCGAGACTGGCAAATCCCCGTTCAGGTGGTGGCTGTGGGCGCTGCAAAAGAGGCAGAGGTCGCAGGCGACACGAGATGGGCGGTAGCATGAAATTATTTCAGCGGGCCAAAAGTTCGACATGGGTCCTCGCCTTAGCGCGACTTGTCTCCCCCACACCCACGTCCGCCCGCCGCACCACTCCCGACATCATCGCTCGCGCGCGTGGAACTACACCGGAACACTGCGCCGTTATGTCTCCAACCCTCCACCCTATACACCCCAAATCATGAAAAAACCTCCATAGCAATGGCACCCAACATACCCGACCACTGGCTCTGGCTCGGCCTAGGTACACCCTCCTCGTCCCTCCACGCACTCTCCCAAATTAACCCAATGCCCCAGGCGTCTTCACCTTCATAGCTGTCCAACAAGTCTCTCACGGCTTGCAAAACATGCGCACCCTAACCGCGATCCACAACCCCCAGAATGTGCCTTCGCAACGCCGCACCATACCCTCGAGCCCGCGCTCACCCACACACCAGGAAGACGCAATCAAGACGTCTTCGTTGTTGACCCTCGCCACAAGCCACAACAATGATATTCGTGCTTCGGCCACCAAGATCCTCTGCACGCGTTTCTATGCGTCTAAGACAGCAAAGGACCTGCTGATCAAGGACTTGTATAGTAAGGACCAGGAGGTGGTGCATCGTGCACAGTTGGCACTCAACTTGCTGTGCGACATGGGCGTGTGGAGGGACTCGTCACTTGCACCGCGCATACCGAGGGGCGGGTGGCGCTTGATGGAGAGTCGGGCGCAGGTTGGTGGGGTAGGCAGCTCTGAGCGGGATGTTCGCCGGAGGAGGAGGGAGGCGGTGGTGATTAGTGATGGCGAAGGCACCATTGCGAGTCGAGGCGTCTTCGCGAGGGATCATGAGGGCGAGGACGATCAGGATGATGTTGACTCGCCGGGGCTGCATTTGAACTTTATACCGGCTTTCTGAACGGGACTCATGTCCCTTTGTTGCAAAAGAGGGAAGACAAGCAATGGCAGACTATGATACCTTAGATATTCAAGCAACATGTGCATTTTACCATCATCATCATTCCATACTGCATCTTCAACAGCCACATCTACCGTGCATCTTCACTCCGTCCAAACCCCCTAAATCCAACATCCCTCCTGAAAAACTTGCCAATATTCTTCAGGTTGCTCTCCAGGTTCGCCCCGCCATCAGTCCCACCACTACCACTCTGCTGCTGCCCAGGCGCAGGGCTGCCAAACCGATCCACCCCGTCTCTCGCAGCATTGACAAGCATATTCCCGAGCCCTGCTGCATCGAACCGACCTCCACTGAGACTCGGTGTACCCATGACGCTTCCCGCTCCACTGCCAACACCCGTGTTGTTCTGAACCAGCAAGGGTGTAAGAAAGGGCGAGTTCTGCACTAGATTTGCATGGTTAGGTGATGCACGGAACGCAGCAAAGAGATCCAAGAGTTGGGTTTGCTCGGCTTTGCGGATCCCCTTGAGCTCCAGTACTTTGCGGAAATTGGTGTCGGATTTGTCGGCAATGTGGATGAGGTATGCTTGTACCAGGGCTTCGGGTGGTGAGGGGCGGACTTGCAGCGTCTTGAGCAGAGGGTCAATCTTTGCTGTTGATTGGTTGACACGTTTGATAAAGCTGGACTCATGTGTTAGGGGTCTGTTGTAGTGCCAAGTAATAAGACTGTTGAAGAACATACCTTGCTGGTGGCGCCGTACCTGGCTCATCGTTGAGCGTGGGAATCTCTGTGAGCCCCTGCTTCAAGACGTATGAATCCAGCAGCATCTGCTCTGCCCCTACTTCAGAAATTGGCTTGCATTGCACAATGTTGGCAATGTATGCAGATGCCATTAAGTCCACCAGGTTGTCACTGAACGCTCGCGCATACTGTTGCTTGTGAAGGTATTTGAGAATCTCACCAGATCTCTCCTTGACATTGCGGAGCAGCTCGGCAACATATGTGCTCTGGTCGCCAACGCTCTCAAGTTTTGCCCAGGGCGTATTGCGCATTTCACGCCAGCTGGGCTCACATGCAATCTCAACCTTTCGGACCAGCATGCGTACCGTCGCGCTGGCAATGCCCATGAAAGCATCAGCTTGGCTCTGTAGATCGACCTTTTCTCGAAACTCCTCATCTATCCGGCCTTTTATCTTCTCTTCTAGTTGGTTACAAGTGGCGTAGCAGTAGTCTGCAGTGTTGAGGATAAGAACAGCATCTTCAATAGACGGTCCCTGGGCACCCGACTTCTCACTGAGGAAGTAGTAGAGTACCTGTTGCCCATACTGGTCCAGGTATTTGGCAAAAGTGACAGACAGCTCTTGAAGCCTTGTTCCAGTCGAGAGTTTGGCACACTGTGCCAGAGTCATGCGGTAGAAATTGAACAACTCGGTCGATGACGGTATAACTGCTTGAGGCGAGAACTCCTCCTCTGAATTTCGCAAAGGCTGTTGCCGATACTTGGGTATCAAGGCTGCTAATTGTCTAAATTGTTAGAAAGATGTTTTTCAACAATTCATACGGCACATACTTGTCTTGAGACTCTACCCAGAGGCTCATGTAAGGCTCAAAAGCCTCAGAGATGGCTTGGCTGAAGCCATGTGGTCGTTCTTCCTTGGAAGCCATGGTGTCCACGGAAGAGCGAGACTGTGCAATATCAGTATACATGACTCGAATTTGTACCCGCCAGACAAACCTCGTTGGAGAACCGCCGTTCCAGGCCTTGTTCGAAATCAAGTGTTTCCTGTAGACATGAAAGAAGGAGTGTGACGTCCAGACTTTGACTGTCACCTCTTCGCACAGATTTTTGCAGTATAGACTTGAAATCTTCACGGGTCCCTTCACAAAACGAATTGGCCAGCATCTCGTTTACGCGCCAATAGGCTGGGAAGATTGAGGCATGCTCAACATCATAAGTCTTCATCATTCGGTTGAACCAACTGTATCGCCGTCCAATATTGTCCAAGGAGCCAGCTTCATCATTGCCACGGAAGACCTGCCGGTACTCGCGAAGCTGCGTATTGCAGTACCAATTTATAAGCCGTGTCCGCGCATGCTCGCCAAGCGCATCGATGACGAGGCAAGCTTCTGCTAGCATGGCCTTTCGCTGGGCCGTTTCCCCTTTGGCGAATGTAACCTCAAAGTCTTCGCAGACCTGCTCCAGCAACTCGCCCTGCACATCCGCCACATTGCGACTGAGGGTAGCAATCTGGTCTATTGAACGATAGCTCTTGAAGTGGGCCACGAGTTGTAGAACCGCCTGCAGCAGCTGGGCGCACTCTCTATACTGCCGCGACTTGCTCAGACTGCGCAGTTGTTCGTATGCCGTCGTCAACATCTGCAGCCGCTTCAAGGCCGTCATGGAGAGGGTCAAGTTCTTCTTTGTGCTATCCAAGCGCTTTATGTCCGCAGTCATCTCGGTGATGGTCTGCTCCGTCTGCATGGCCCGCTCCCTGACGCTCTCGATCCTCTTGAAGAGGTCGGCCAGCTCAGCCTTTGCCGACTGTATGCGCTGCACGCTGTCTGCATCTGAGCTGGACTGTGACGCGATGACGGCTGCGATATCCTCGTCGAGATCATCTTGGTAGCTGCGAAGGGCCTCGGACGTGGCCGAGACGGAGGCGAGCGTGGCGGGGTGGGAGAAGATGGCGTTGAGATGGTCGATGGGATCGTATTCAGCTGCATTGAGCGTCAGCGCCGAATCCATGATTCCGGACACTACAGGCTGGCGTGCGTACTAGATTCCAGAGAAGGAGAAAGGCCAGGCATATGGTTCGGTCGGAGTCCGCATCAATGCCCCCTCGCGATATGCTGTTGCACACGTTGCGCCAGGGAGTGTACGTGCGGTGGAAAGAGGGTAAGACAAAAACCAGCTTCTGTTATTTCTTTTTTTTTAACTATGCCTTTGCTTATCGTTCTTCGCTACGCATTGAACGAGATGCGTGCATTGTAGCAGTCGAAATGTTATTGGGCGATTGCGGAAGGTGGTGTAGCTGCACAAGCCACTACGTACATCCGTGCTTCCACGCACCCTCAATTCAGGGTCTCAAGCCTCACCTTAGTCGCGAGCCCCTCGACAATTCATCCTTTTCGCCAGCGAAACAACTATCCAATGCCACACATTGTGCGCGAATCCGTAGGTTTTTGAACATGAAAAGGCAACCAAATTGGATTCAAAAATAAACAAAGATGTCCCCTGATGTACAGTCGTATTCCGGGTCAGGGCTATAGAGGTCCATAGAAGTGGAGACGACAGGGTCCAATTGGAAGATGGACTCAGACACAACAGACCTTCCAACAAATTACATGCCCGAAAAATAGTGTGCAAGATCCGCTTGAAAGCTGGGCTGCTCTCGTGGTTCCTTGCCCACCGCTGCAGCTCTTCCGTCGTCTCGGACTGCTTTTGTGATTGAATGTATCGCACGTTTAGAAAGCATGATTTCGACTAAAATTGTTTGGAATTTGCGTTGAAGGAATAGATCAATGAGAGAAGGATAGAGATGTGTTTAGGGACTCGAAATGCGTAGATCCCTGCTGTAAGCTCAACTTTGGTGGCTGGGCCTGAATGATGACGATAATTAATCAGACCGTACAGGCGCCTATCTATGTCTAACGATCGTGAGAGCTCTGGGTATAGATGATGCGAGAAAAGGTATGCTCTACTATAACAGAGTTGATGCTTTGAGATATCTAAGAGCGCTTTTATAGAACGTATACTATAGATAGATAGAATATATAATTTCTTAGTAACTATACGTTCTATAAAAGCGCTCTTAGATATCTTGGCCCCTAACTACTACTGCATATCGGTGTTGACTCTGGTGTAACACTACCCACATATCAAAGCCTCATCAATCTCATTCTTGGGTGGATTTCGAATCATTGCAGACATGAATTCTGTTCCTGTAAGTCCATAGTCTGCAAGAGTGAACTTGACCGCATCGATAGTCTCGAACCTATAGTTCTTGCAAAGCCGCTGTCCTTGTGCAGATGCTTGCAAGAACACAGGAAGCCGCAGCTCTTCCGATTTTGCGATTCTCCATTGCAAAAGAAGGCTACCGGCACCTCGTCGTCTGTGTTTGCTGGAAGTGACGAGAAGAGCTAGGACTGTTGCGGTTAGGATATGAGCATTTTAACGATGTAAGGGTGGCAGCTCAACTCACGTATATGGGGGTGCTTCCCTAGCTCTCCGTTTCGACTGCCAAAATATTGGTGTGCAGCTTCTCGCAGACGGCCATACTGGTCCACTTGCTTTAACGCTTCGTCTATCGGCTGCTTCAGAGCCTCAAGGTCAGGCCGGCCATACTCGTAGATTTCCCACTTTGCGTAGGCGATGATTTCACCATCGGCCTCCCTGTCAATAACTTTCAAGTGATGCACGTTTGATTTATTGGCTATATCGTTCTTGATGGAAGATATTTGGTCCCCCTGGTAGCCTGGGAATGGGGGAGGACGACCAATGAGTAGCGATCCCAACGTTTCGGTACAAAGGACTACACAGGACGGGACATCTGCATGTTGTACTGGATGGACTGATAGAGAAAATATGTTACAAACTGGGTTGCTTACAAACGAGAGCAAGACGGCGCAAGTTGGCAATCACATTTTCAAAGGGTAGGACGGTGAGTACACATGTGCCGAAAACCGTGGACTTGAGGGGCGAGGCGGCCATCGTATTCTGTGCTCGCGTTGCCGCAGTCTTCTCTGTCTAGGAATACTACATCAAATTATGCATTGAAAGAAAAGACTTTACTTGACAAATGTCATCTGTAGATCTCACACAGTATCATCTTCGCATTTGTTCATCGTAGCAGTACGTGCTAAGATCTAGAGGAGAGACTTGAAAGGAGGACGGTTTACGTACTACCTTAGCGGTGCGTACATGGTCTAACCACCCACCTGTACCAATCACCCACCCGCCTACGTCCATGTTTTCACAGCCGCCTCAACGGCTTCAGCCGGAAGAGCAAAATTGAGTTGGGCGGCCTATACGAATTAGTACTTGGGCTTTTACGTGTCATAATAGACTATTCTGTCGTGTGCCGCGCAAACACCGTGCCCTCTGCATGCAATTTGTGCTGATGCGTGCACATGCAGACATTCCCATGTACAGCATATTGTTGGGGCTGTGTGATGTTCTATAACCATCCAATGGAAGGACTGTGGCGAATAGGGCGTACGACCAATAAGTTGCTATTGAATATTCAGTAGGCAAGACTGTGCAGACTATGTTAGAGAAGAGCGACTTAATCACCGCTTTTATGGCTAAGACCAGCGTTTCTAACAATGCCAAAATCCACATTTTGGAGTACCATTAGCTAAATAAGACTCCCATAGCGAGTACGACGTGACCATGATCCCACCCGAGGCTGACCACCAAACGCCCGAATGAGCCTCGACCTGCATACCATTCCAGATGTAGTAACACAACGCCAATTTCCGCCCCCTCCGCTGCGCCAAGCTTCCTTCACTACTTGAGTGCCTGGACAACTGCCGTGCTTCCATTTCAGCATCGTTTATATATGCCATCCCCAAAAGTTTCAACGATACCATGCGTCACTTTCTGCAACAATGTCTAAACCAATGAGCATCCTGTCTTTTCTTCTCTTCAGTATCCCTACCGGTTTAGCAATAAATGAGAAATCAAGACCAATTGAAATAACCAAAGATGTTGTCATCATTGGAGGAGGTGCATCAGGCACCTACGCCGCAGTCCGTCTCCGCGAAGACCTCGGGAAAAGCGTCATCGTCATTGAGCCCAGACCTAATCTAGGCGGCCATACAAGTACATATCTCATCCCAGAAACAAACACCACTGTCGATTACGGCGTGCAGTCGTATCTTCCCTATGGTCCTGCATCTTCGTTCTTCGCCCGCTTCAACATTACGACCGAAGTCTTTTCTCCAGAGCGACTGAATTCACTGAACGTCGACGTCGAAACAGGAAAAACGCTCCTGGATTACCGTGCGCCAAGTTTGAATGCTACAAATGAAGCATTAAGCCGCTGGCTCACCATTACCCAGAAATACCAACAGTACCTGGAGCCAGGATATTGGAGTTTCCCACGCCCAGGCGATATCCCCGATGATTTCCTAATCCCCTTTGAGCAGTTTGCAAAGAGGGAGGGAATTGAAGCGGCAGTGCCGCGCATAACTGCGATTTCAGGTGTGGGTTACGGGGGTGTGAGGGATCTCTTAACATTGACTGTGTTCCAAGCATTCGGGGCATCACTTACACAAGGTAAGTCAAGACAACTACTGTCACCAGACATTCAAGAACTCGCACTAACTCTGGAACTCATGATTAGATTTCCTGCAATCCAAGCTCTTCCGCCCAACAAACAGCAACAACGCCCTCCTCTACACCCGCGCCCTCTCCCTCCTAAAGTCCGACATCCTCCTCTCCAGCACCGTACAATCCACCAAACGCACAAAAAACAGTATCCAGCTCACCGTCACCCACGCAAACGGTACTTCCTACCTGATAACTACCAAGAAGATCCTCTTTACCGCACCCCCAACCCTCACCAACTTACTCCCCTTCAACCCCGACAAGCGCCAAAAAACCCTCTTCACCCCCTGGACCCCCAGCGCAGAATTCGTAGCTATAATCCACGCACCCTGCCTCCCTGCCAAAACCTCGATCTCCTTCCTGCCCCACGCCGTAGTACCAACCAGCTACCTGTCACTAAAAGACTACCCTTACACTCTCCGCCTCGACGCTACTGGCCCTGTGGGTACAAATCTCTTCCGCGTCGTCTTCGGCGCAAACTACACGCTTTCTACGCCTGAATTCCAGCAGCTCGTGCGGGACCGCGTGCAGGACGTCATCCGCGCTGGCTCGGTAAACACCACAGCAACCGCGAACTGTGAAATAACGTTCCGAGCGAGTTCAGATCACTCGCGCCCGTGGTGGCCGCAGGATGCAGCCAAGATACAAAGTGGATTTGTGAGCAAAGTGAATAGCTTGCAGGGGTATAAGGGAATGTGGTTTGCGGGGTATGCGTGGGGAGCGCCGTATAGCTCGACTGTTTGGGCGGTTGTTGATACGGTTTTGGAGAGGATGGTTGGGGTGTAAGCGGGGGAGGGAGGGAAGAAGAAAGAAAGGAAGGAGTAGATATGTAATCGAAATGTAAATATTGGTATTTGAAGATGAATCACATGAGCTTCGCGCATTGCGTTGACGTGCCATTACTTTGGGAATTGTCGTTTGAAAGGTGGCTCACTCATATTGTGTAGTAGACAAATCAAGAACGAAGGGCATGTTAGTAATGGACGTGCAAGAGAAAAGCCTCAGTAGCGCCTCAGAAGTCTTTCTTGCGCCGCTACTGAGTTCGTCATTATCTTCTCAATGTATGAAATGTAGTTGTGGCGGTGGCTATGTTTAGCGATGCCAGTAAGCATGTCTGTGCCAAGCGTCTTCGACTGTCAGGTGGGTTTGGCCTCTTCAGCCTTCTGCGCATATCATCAACATTTTCCGTCTATTGTATTAGAAGATAAACTCTCCATTCAATCGACCTTTGAAAGCCACGCAGTAAGATGTTAACCCAGTCGACTTTGCTCAACCATAGATTCTTATCAGAGAGTGCCCTGACCTCCGCCGAATCACAGCCTGATGACTTGGACATGATAAGATTTCTGGCAGTTGTGGAAGCACTCAACATCGAAATACTGCCCATCACATGGCAAGCTGCACGACAACCGATTGGTTGGGGCGCAACAAGCCAGGTCACTGAGGCTCAGGCTACTGTCCAAACTAGCTTTGCGTTCAAACGTGCCTCTGAGAAGCAGAAAGAGTTCGGTTTGCCGAAAGTTCTGAAAGCAATGTTAAACGAAATTGTCGTTCTGTCACATCCCTCTGTTCGGATGCACCCGGGTGTTGTTGAACTTCAAGGCATATGCTGGGATGTCCAATCTGTACATGATGTTTGGCCGGTCATAGTGTTTCAAAAGTCGCATTTTGGCAATCTCTATGATTTCGCCGCTATGCCAGCCGGGAGAGCGCTCTCGATAGCTCAGCGCCTGAATCTTTGTATTGATATAGGCTCTGCCGTTATCAGTATGCATGCGAACAGTAAGTGACGAAAGCAACATTCCTCCATTTAACTTACTGAGATCTTGATATATATTGTACACGGAGATTTGAAACCTGAAAATGTTCTTATATTTCAAGACGAGAAAGATGGTTACTGTGCAAAGGTCTCAGATTTCGGTTATTCCACCAGGTTTTTGAACCCCGATGATGTCTGCTCAATGCCCAGATCACAGCCCTGGGACGCACCTGAACATCACTTCAACATGTTCACTATTACAAATGCGCGAAAGATGGACATATTCTCGCTTGGTCTGCTTTGCTGCTGGATCCTTTTCGAAAAGTATCTTGCTCGGGTGGCCCCACTACCAGCAAGCCTAGAATGGGCCGAAGATGTGCTTGCTTCAAAAGAAAGCTTAGATTGCAGCAAGGAGTCCATAAGCGAGTTGAAACGACTCAAAATGATCCTAAATTTCGCTGAACAGCTCTTGGCTACAGATGATGATCTGGAGGCTGAACCTAAGGAAGCAATGCTGAGATTTCTCCGGGCAGGTCTAATATATGAGAAAGATTTGCGGAGCCACAACCTTCATGCATCTTTTCACTATTTTGTCCCTAGGTAAGATACCCCACAAAATAATTGGGTCACTATGCTGAGAAAGATACAGTGAGCTTTCCTCCCCCGCTAAGATAAACGACCCTACCTCATTCATCTCTTCCGCAAGCCTTGACGTAAGCCCTGTTATTACCACATCACTTCCAGCACTAATCGATAGTACAGATAACGCAAATCCTAGGAACCCTGTATGCTTCTGATTATCGTGTGCGAAAGTATCTCCGACGTACTTTGGAGGACCTGATCAATGATCGGACTCGTGACGAGATGGATTCAGAGCAGCAAAACCTCGCCTTCCAGCTTGCCATTTGCACCAAGATTGGATTTGGGGCTCCCAAAAATGACGCTGAGGCACTTCGGCTTCTTTCTCAGTGTCAAAAAACGTCAGAAGACCTTGAAAGAGCTCTGAAGAAACTCAATGTCGTAGACGGTCCTCGAACAGCCGACAACCTGACAACGTGGCATATACTACGCAATGCCTATCATGTCAAGCTCATCAATCTAGCTGAACAATACACACAAGTGAATGAGATTCGTGTGGCAGTGGAGGAGTTCAGCAAAGAACTATCTGATATTGAAAACACTTTAGGGAGAAACAATGGTTTGTGGGCTTTCCACGCGCACACGATGGCTTTGTTTCACGATAAGCTAGGCCATTGGAATAGCAAGAGACAGATCTTGCAACAGATACTCGAGATCGATGAGACCGATGAGATGGATGTTCCTCTTATCATAAACCTTGCGCAAACGTATAGGCAGCTAGGTCGTTATGCTGTAGCAGAAACCCTGCAAGATGAGGCAATAGCGGAACTGTTAGAGCAAGAGAAGGAAGACGGCTTGGATCTGTACGACTGCATGGCTGACTTGGCGATGACTTACAAGGAACAAGGACGATTCGAAGAGGCCGTGGACTTACTGTCTAGAGCCATACCTGGATTTAAGAGGCTACTGGGGTCAGAAAACCCGAGTACTCTGTCGAAAGTGTCCAACCTGGGAACCATTTATCAAGCCCAATACCGGTGGGAAGAAGCAGCCGCTCTTTTCATCGAAGTCAAAGATACCTGCCACTCTATCCTCGGAGAACGCCATCCTTTTTCGCTCACGAGTACTAATAACCTCGCCAATGTATACAGTGCGCAGGGCCGTTGGGAGGAAGCTGAGATTATGCTTGACAAAACCCTCAGCATCGCAGCAGACGCTCTGGGACCACAAAATCCCATCACAATCAGAACTCAACGTGCCCTCGCCAATTTGTATTCAAAGAAGGGTCAGTTTACACGTGCTGCAAAGGCGTTCGAAAACACGCTAAGCGGTTCAGAAGAGGAGTTTGGTGATGATTACCCAGAGACCATTGAGGCTCGCAAATATCTAGGAGATATGTATCACCAATTGGGCTTATACGAAAAGGCAGAGACACTACATTCCAATGCCTTGAAAACGCTTGAGTTAGTAAGAGGGATAGATCATCCCTCTACGATAAGTGCAGCCAACTCTCTGGCTTTGACCTATAAAGAACAAGGTAGATTGAGAGATGCCGAGCAGATTCAGCAAAAGACCATTCAACGGTGCGATAGTACTTTTGGCCCTCTGCACTACATGACTCTACATGTCCAGCTCGACCTCGCAGCGATTTTCATGGACCAGGAACGTTTCGAAGAGGCCGAAAAATTGATTGAACGTATCGTACTGCACGAAGCGCAACTGCACGACCGAGATCAAAGTCTTCGAGTAGATGCACTCGCTAAACTTGTTACTATTTATCGATGCCAACATAAATTTGAAGAAGCTGAAAAGCTGGGAATTGAGGTCATCAAAACCAGAGCGGCTTTCCAAGGTGACGAGCATCCGTTGGTCCTTGAAAGTAAGAACAACCTTGGCAGCGTCCTTATGGAGATGGGAAAGTTGAGCAATGCCACCAACCTCTTCACTAATGTGATAAATGCAAAGGAAGCGCAAGGTATCCGAGATCCAGTATATTTGACGAGCAAATATTGTCTCGTCGCCACATATGCAGCAGCAGAAAAGTGGGTTGATGCTGTGGAATTAGGAATTGAGGTTCTCGAAATGGCAGAAAGAGCATTAGGAACAGGCCATCCGGCATGGATCAGAGCCGCAGACCATGTCCTCTTTGCGTATGGTAATCTGAAAGACGTATCAGGCTTTGAAAAACTTAAAGGACAAGTTGTCGAAGCAAAGAAGGCAACATGGAAGGAGATCAGCCTTGACCAGATTCATGTGTTCGACACCATCTCATCGGTCCTAGCTGAGCAAGAGAGATGGTCAGATGCGCAAGAGATTGAAGAGCAAAAACTGGACATGTTGCGCGAGTTGCAAGGCGAAGACCACTCCAATACCATAGCATGCATTACTCTGCTGGCATGGATCTGCGAAGAGAATGGCCAATGGACGAAGGCGGAAAAACTCAAGCTTGAAGTCATCGACAAGAACAGATCTATACTAGGACCTGATCATGAAGACACTGTGCAATATATGGAAGATACAGTAACTTTCTATACGAGACTTGGAGACCTCGAGAAGGCTGAAAAACTTACTCTTGAAGTCATGGAGATCCGACAGCGAGCTTTGGGAAATATTCATCCTGAAACTATACGCACAATGGATTTTCTAGCAAATGTTATGACCGCCCGTGGCAAGCATACCGAGGCACAGGGTATGAAAGAGGCGTGTCACTTGTTGAAACTAGAAAGTCCCTCATAGAATATATGTTTCTTCTTTTGTTCACCGTCTCAGTCTGAAATTTGATGAAATCACTCATTGGCTATAACATCCACTGCGAGACTGGGCAATATTGAAGGAATCAGGGAGTACTTTCATCTATCCGATGGAGTAAATGAGGTTAACGTACTTCAAGAAATTAAATCTCATATTCGGACAACCTCTCCAACGGCTTGACGACCTTGTCGAGAAACAAGCCAAAGATGCCATTGTCGGCCTCCCTCCCGCTTCCCGTCTGCCCTCTACAGCCCAGAGATCCATCAAGGCAAGCACGAACACAATCCCGATAGACCCCACCAACGGTTGTACTCAATCTAGGCACATATTTCTCGAGTAACGCTTGCCGGAACCCTTCGGGGCTCAGCGTTCGATACTCCCTTCGCTGCGCCAATTTCTGAAGTGGGATCCAGCAACCAACTTCCAGCAGCACTAGACCTAGACTGTAAATGTCATATTCTAGCGAAAACCTGCCTTCTTCCCGATAATCAGGGTGTTCATACTGACGGTAGCTTGACTCGTCCGCCGGCCCATCGGTCGCCCAGTTCGAGCCATCCGGCCGGCTCTTCTGAAAGCCGACTATGTATGGCTGCCGCCAGACACTACTATCGCGAAACATCTTTCTCGACTTACAGGCAAATACAACGTTTTTCGAATTGAATGTTTCATGCAAGCATCCAACTGTGTACAGCTCTTCAAAGAACGCCGCAAGCGAATGGGCGAGCAGGTATCTGCCTTGCAGCGGGGCCTGACATTCCGCTCCTCCATCGCGGTCCGAGCCTAACAGCAGCAGTTGCTGTAAAGTAACGGGAGGCTCGAATGCGTTTTCGGAGGTTGTTACAGGAAGTTGATAAAGAAATCCATATCCTGGCCGCCGTCCCATTTCTCCGATTTCTTCTACGAAACCAAGACATTTGAGTACCCGCAATTTGGCGGGTTTAGACAAGTTGAAACTCTCGGCTCGGAGCTCCATGATCAGAAGCCGCTGGTGCTCCGGTATGGTGTCTGACCTATTTGTATAATACATCCACTCGATGAGTACTGGTTGGTCCCCACGGAATCTGCCATACGTATGGCCATTCAATAACTCAACATGGTGCAGATCTTCTCGCTTTAGTAAGAGGTTTGCAGTGCCAGAATCTGGAGTTTTGAGCAGTTGCAATCGGGTTGCACGGATCCCGGCCATTAGACCGACATCAGTAAAGTCCTCGCGTCGATGTTCACGCATCAACATGTCGATATCATTCAACCGTCCAATGTCATCCTCTTGCATAGAAGAGAGCCAAAGCTCTTGTATCCTTTTAGTTTCCCTCTTTGGAAGAAACGTCCAAAGTTTCTGGACTATTTGTTGGACCCTTTCTGGTACAGATCCACCCAGGTCGACTCGTGTTTCACTTGCATTAACTTGCTGACCAATGTCCTTTTGATGGCCCAGCTCATTGTGAATCGTCTCAAACAGAGCTCTTAGTTCATCGCGAAAGGAACGGTAAGTTTCCTCTTGAGAGAAAATCGATGAGTTCGCATCTTTTTCGGAGGATAAGAACCGAGCAATCACATGCAACCTTTCCTTTTCAAATCGCATCGCCATATGGAGCCCCGCTTGATCCAGGTCGTGCTCTGCAGCGGTCAAGTATGCCTCCATCTCTGAACAGAGTGCGGAAGCAAGCGCTTGGAGGCTGATGATATCGAATTCGCTGCGGACGTCTTTGATGGAACATCTAGGTCCTGCCACTGGCTGTAGAGCTCGGAATGCAACTTGTAACATCTTCTTGGTTATCATGGACGAAGTAGCCCCCATCTCCTCGAGCCATCGTTGGACAGATTCTTTCAACCCGCCATCCGACGTAAAGAAATACGTGGTTGTATATCGCGGGCGGAACTCGCTTTCCCGTAAAGTACGAAAATGCCGTACTCCTTGATGACCCCGTTCCATGTAGCTAACCACTTCTGCAATGAGACAGCCGAATGCCCAGACATCGATAGAGCGGCCTACAGATTGATGGGCAAAGGTTGAAGCATCCATGGTCTCGGGGGCGAGGTAATCTCCAGTCCCCATCTTCCAGGGCGTCTGAGAGTTTTCAAGTTCTGGTTTGATTTCCCCAAGGCCAAAGTCAGCGAGAATGAAGGAGTCGTTGGTGATTAGGATATTCGAAGGCCGGAAGTCATGGTGGTACCCTAGACCGGTGAAATGTACCCCGTTACGAGCGACATCTAGACTTATATTGTGAAGTTGCTCCAGGGCTGAGGCAAGACCCCGAAGCGCGATCGGGAACATGAAGTCCCATTGGAAGTCCTTGAACCGGGACTCTAGATCTAGGAACTTGGCCAGGTCCATCGCGAAAGGCGGAAACAGAAAGTTGTGCTCTTGATTGTGCGTGTAGGAGCCTAACAAAGGAATGATGTTGGGATGTTTCAATTGATGGAGTAATCGAAGGGATCTCATCTCTTTCTGGAAACTCTGATCGTACTGTTCCTGTGTTTGTTTCCTTCGATGCATAATTCGTTTTCTAATCACGGATACAGTATCTCCCTATACTTCATTCTCAGTGCATGTGACATTACAGCAAAAATACGCACTCACCTTGCTGTGGAGTAACTCTTGGAGGTTTGTTGGAATTTGTACCCTCGTAACTTCTCCGAATCCACCCTGTGCAATTTTCTCTGCTTCATCAACGAATGGAAAGATGACATTGGCTTCATGGATGTAGCGATGATAATCGCACATATCCTTTTTGAAAACATATGGAAGAAACTGCCATTGGACCTCGCGAGCAAAAGAAAGCCCAAATCCAGGCACGATCTGCTGGGCTCTAGTCTCGGATATAGGAAGCTGTGTGTCTAGGCAATCGTGCTCGCGAAACTTGACAATACTATCCGGTCGTCTCATCCAAACAAGAATAGCAAAGACGACGATGCCTTCTTGGTGAACTTTGTTTGCAAGACCAATTCGTTCGTGGGGATCACAATCAATTTCTTGGATCGCGAGTTCAACCCTTTCGAGATTAAAGATGCTTCGTATCTTCTCTGCGCAGATAAAGTAGGTCCCAGAAAGTGATCTGGACCGGTTCCTTTCAATCTCCTGATACAATGTCTCAAGATACATCTTAAAAAGTGAGATTATATCTCCAAAAGTGGATACTAGCTGAGTTTCTCAATTTAGAGGACGGCGTCATCATATGCGACGCGATAGGAGTACAATAAGTGGCCTAGGATTGCGTTTGCAGACGATTTTCAATGCTTTATTCTCTGTCCTGAACAGAATCTTTCTCGTCCTGGCGATTTGAAGATCAGAAGAGCGCTAAGAGAAAGTGAGAACGTTCTACTGACCTCGTATAGCGCTCGTGGGGCCGTTATCTCGACGTAACCACCGGAAATCTTACTTGGTCAGCCATGCGATGTTGACATGGTGATATGGAGAGGATTACCTTGACCGAATACCGACCTGGAAACAGTCTTTGAAGCAGAAGGTCGAGTTTGTCCAACAAGACATACGTCTCTTCTAGTGTAGTGGTGACTGCCATTATGTTACGATACGCGTCCAAAGCGCCAAAGATAAAAGAAATAGTGGGTGCGAGACAAAAGACGCACTAAATGAAGAGGCTTTCTCACCGGAAATCCCAAGTAAATGCGACATTGCTCAAGCGAGTTGCGTGTCGGTCAGCCATTGGACAGCCGAACTGGTCGGGCGTCCTCTTCATGTGTCCTGCAACAGCCTCTTTTATGGTGGGCTGTGAGCCAATTGTTTTCAATGCAAGTCTGCCTTGCTTAACCCACCTTGCCACAGGCCCCGCGCTCTTAAGGTTCCTCAAGAAAAGGCAACGAAAATATGCTAGATAGAACGAGTAGAGCGTTTTCAGTCTACACAGCCTCCTATAGGGACTTGTACATATAAAATCATGCTCTCAGATCATCTCTATGACCAGTGTGTAACCTCAACTTCCGTGTTGTCAGACATCAAGGCGACATAACTTCCAGCCTAACTATGGGGTGCGACGTTGATTATCAGATCTGTAGTCGAGATATACAGAGGCACTTGTCAAGTTTATTCGTTGATAAAGAAGCTGACTGTACAGCTGAGGTATGGAACCTTGGTTTCAGCTCGCTGGAATCACGGCGTACGTTACATTGGCATTACTATGGGCACTCGGCACTCACGCATGACAAGGCAACAGCCAAGGCACAACAAAGCCAATTATCTCCCTCGTTCGTAACCTGCAGGATTTGGAAAACCAATGGAAAGTAAGTAGCTATGAATTGTAACGAAACTAAATTAATGTTGATAGTGCTTGGATGACTCTTCTACCATTACTATGATGTAAGAATAGCAATGCCTTGCCCTATAATGGATAGGACTGATTACCATGAAGAGTTATTCGTCGGAAGAATTCTTGGAGTAGAATGAAGATACTCCCTGAAATGTTCAACTATATCATTGCCTCGGTTGGCACGCCACCACAGTTCCTGAAAATTGTACTAGGCCTTGGTCAACGGACATCGTCCGGGTATGAATCCTTCACGACGTTTTATCGAAGCTTCATGACACCAGCGGGTCCTGAACCAAACGTGGTAGCAAATGGTATTGCCCCATCAAACACGCTCTAGGTAATGCGCTAATGTACAAGAAGGGTTTGACATTTCTTACAATATCCGGTATTTTGAGCCACATGGGCGGCAACTTAAGGACCCTTATTCATGCCGCCAGTCTGGAATCCATCACAAGTTTTATTTTCAAGGCGGTCGCTCCACCTGGATCATTATACAGCCTCCTCAACTGTTCAATGAAGACCTCCAGCAAACAGATTCCCAGGACAAGTCTCATCCCTTAGCCCTTCACGTTCGGCTGATCAAATCGGCGACGTATTACTTCAAGGAGTATCTCAGCTTTAAAGCTTCTCAACTTGGTTCAATGGCAAGTTTGAAGACCTTTGTACCGCAACCGCTTACCTGAATCTGACCAAAAATACTGTGTAGGACGCTAAACTCAGCATTTCCAAACCTTATGCTGAATTCGACACAGATTTTTCCACGAGCCAAGCTCTGCACCAGTTGAAGAAACAACTTCTTCTAGCTCTTGAAGTAGTAGATGGCGTCTCTCGCATTACTCAGAAGCTTTTGATTCACCTGTCCGACCCGAGGACATTTTCGAATGTCCTTAGTCAGATCAACATGAAGCATGACCTTGGCCAGATCAGCAGTGACATGGAGGGTCATAAAGCTACGATACGACACTTGCTGCAAGTAGTAGAAAGCATCGGAGCCTTGGTAAGGAATTCCGGCCACTCGATTCAAAGACCGGCTGTACTAACGCTACTATCAGAATCGCGACATTCTAGCTCTTAGAAATCAAGAGCTTCTAGTAAAAAACAGCCATGTTCTTTCGCAGCTTGCACAGACTAGTGCTAGTGAAAGCAAAACTATAACAGATATGACGAATAGGACTCAGCAGGATTCGCGAGTCATGCGGATTGCAACTGTGATAGCGATGGTGTATCTGCCCGCGAACCTCGTCCTAGTATGTAATCCTTTGAGATTTTCTATATTTTACTAATCACATGGTTCCGACAGTCTTTTTTCAGTACCTCTTTGGTCGAGCTTCGCACGACAACTCAAGCAGAGAGCACCAGTGCGAGGATTATGGTCTTTGACCAGGTATGGGTGGCAGTTGTCAGTAGCTTTCTACTCGTCATTTTCAATATTGCTGCACTTGTAGTATGGAACCGACTAGGTCCAAGGTAGATTGTCTAATGTATGTGACATATACGTAACCCGCTTGGTCATGTGTAAATTCCTAAGGTTAATCAACAGAAGAAGTTAAGGGGCAGTCTTGGTAAGAAATGATTACTATCTTTAGACATGGTCATAGGTTGGTGTTTAGTTGTGTGCGAAATGGTTGTCAAAAGGACTATAAGGACGAGGTACTATGTAGGTAGCTGACGCTAGCACCTGATTCGCGGAACCGGGTTCCCGTTTCTGGAAATAGGAAACATTTCAGCGTAATAAGAGATAGCAGAGCGTGCAAGAGAACTAATCCTTAATGTCCAATGGCCGTATGTAGTAGAACACGGTTTTGAAATTTAGTATATTGGCAGCCAAAAAGTGGATGTAGATATGAGTTCGATATCCAGGGTTCACGTGATACTATCGATATCACGTGCGTCACAGTTAGCTCCTAACTTTCGTAGTTGGTACTTAGGTGTATTGCTACTCTAACCATTTTGCTGCCGACGTTTTATATATATAACGAGACCTTGCTACAGTGATAATATTTCATACTAAGCATAGGTTTTTTTGGCGATTTTTGCTTGCTTAACCTCTATTTCCGGTTGTAGCAGTTGACCAGGGGTTCGGTGTTTTTTAACTCGCTATCGCTATCTTCTCGGAATAAGGTTTTCTGTTGGATGCACCCGCATATTGACTGGATGCAGCCAGTCCTTGTATATGCTCCAGTCCGATGTGAATGCTATACACTGGCGAAGAACAAGTACATCGGGAAGCATGCACGGCAGCGATGCAGACACGGTAGATATGTTATCTGTGGTAATGTGCAGGGCCCAGAAGGAATTTTCATACGTTGATTACTGAAGAGGGAAACGCACGACAGATGACATATGTGTGCTGCTGTGGGATTGGTGATTACTATGGTAGGGAGTGGCAAAGCGGGTAGGGTTTTCGGCTTGTGATTGCTCGCTGACGGTTGGGCTTGCCTAAGCGGGCACAAGAAACCGAGGTCTGTCACGATTCAGGCTCTCAAAGACCAACCGTATCCCGGCCGACGGCAATGCGCCCTCAGCGTTCCCATCGCCCCCGTTCCATCACCGTCATCCAACCCACTCGCGCTCTTGTTCGTCTATCCACGGGACTGCAAACGAGCGCGTGCAGTGACCGTCGACGCGGATCCGCTATTTGCGATTACACTAGGTGTACAGGCCCCGGCCCTCGGCAGGTTCCCCGCAAGAAGTCGCTCCAGCTTCCGTTGAATCGCCGCTACTCACCAGCCTCTCAACCGTCGCACGACCTCGCCATCTCGCTGTAATCCATTCTCATCTGCGCGTAAAGGGAGAAGACAGGGCACGTACGACACACAGGACACAATGTCTTCACCATCGCCGCCAAAGCCATGGGAGACGAGCGCCGGCGCGACAAGTGCCTCGGTTGGTCAGTTTCGCCAGTCGATCGGAGTAATAGGGACAACAGTGACTAACGATCGCACAGGTCTCACGGGATCAAACACCAGCACAGCATCCACAACCGCCACATCCCCGACTTCTTCAACCGCTCCCCCACTACCGTCGGTACCCGACTCCCTTAGCACCGTCGCGAACCGCAACGCGACCGCGTATTCCGGCATGAACAACCGATATACCTCACCTTACGGCACAGGCTACGGAGGCATGAGCAGCTACAACTCACCATACTCCACCATGGGCGGCGCGTACGGCTCCATGTACGGCGGCATGGGCGGTATGGGAGGCATGTACGGCGGCATGGGAGGAATGTATGGCGGCATGTATGGAGGCATGGGCGGCATGCCTGGTGACCCAAACAGCAGCCTCACACAGTCCTTCAGCCAGAGCACAGCAGCGACATTCCAACTCATCGAAAACATTGTCGGCGCCTTTGGTGGCTTCGCGCAAATGCTCCAAAGCACATACATGGCGACTCACTCGTCATTCTTTGGTATGTCCCTGACTTGGTCACGCTCGTCTGCCAGTTTCTAACATGTAACAGCCATGGTATCCGTTGCCGAGCAGTTCGGAAACCTGCGACAAACACTCGGTTCGGTTTTGGGCATATACACCGTCATGCGGTGGATAAGAACCGCCATCGCAAAACTTACCGGACGACCCTTGCCAGCCGACGCAACCGCCTTGACTCCCGCGAGCTTCGCAGCCTTCAACGGCCGCATGCCAGACGGCTCACCAGCACCCGCAAAGCCATCAAAGAAGCCTTTCATCGTGTTCATGCTCGCCGTATTCGGTCTCCCATACCTAATGGGCAAGCTCATCAAGGCCCTCGCCCGATCACAAGAAGCTGAGGAGCAACGAAAGATGCTGGAGAACCCGCACTCAGCACAACCGCTCGATCCCAACAAGCTCGAATTCTGCCGTGCACTGTACGACTTCACTCCCAATGCCAACATGCAGGGTATGGATCTTTCAGTTAAGAAGGGCGATATGGTTGCCGTTCTCAGCAAGAGTGACCCCATGGGCAACGCATCAGAGTGGTGGAAATGCCGGTCAAGAGACGGTCGCGTGGGCTATCTTCCCGGCATCTACCTAGAGACTATTCAGCGGAAGACACCCGCTCAGATCACCAGTGGAAGCCAAGTCGGAAGCCCCGCTGGAAGCAGGACCCAGACAATGACCAGCAGCAGTGCTACAAGTGGAACTGCTACCATGACCGAGTCAAGCATGGGAAACAAGGCTGGACCAAAGATTGACAGCAAGGCAGGAGATATGGGTGTTGAGAGTTTCCAGAAGGGCGCATTCTACTCGTAGGCCTAAATGGCTTGTTCTTGAGCAATCTGCTCGTTTCATTGCATATGGCGTTTTTCATATCATCACTTTCTGGCCTGCAGGCCTGTTGTACAAAGCTTGTTCGGGAAAAGGCTGCTGTTAAGGCGTATGGCGCTCAAAGATATCACGGACGGAATCAATGACAAATTTAATGTTCAGCAATTCTAGTATTGATAATAGCACAATATGACTATCACGTGAAGATGCAGCTGGTTCCATGATCTAAGGCTGCATCTAACATGGGTGTGCGGATAGGCAGATCCGCGCTCACGTCACTCGCACATTGAACCTCCAAGCTCCAAAGCAAACAGCGCAAACTCCCGCCCTTCCCTTTTCCTGTAGAGCTGCCTTTACCTGCCGATAATTCCGTCGCCCTTTTTTCGACTTCAACATTCCAGACTCCCTTCTACTGCGAGTTCTACGATACTAGGCTGCCACGTACAAAGGTCCACCGCTCTGCCCCTCCCCCACCGACCGTCCTTTGTTGCGCCCGCGTAGACCGACAGCACCACAACACCATACCTGAAGCTTCAGCAAAGGAAGCGTATTCTTTCGAACGATTCTGGGAGTATTCGACTTGAGTTACACGTGGCAATCCATCTGAGGAAGGAGAAGGCGCAACTCGGTTCAACATGTTCGCATCCAAACGGCTAGGCAAGGTACGTGTATACAACAAGATGTAGATATGAAATTACGCGCAGTAACAATTGTGTAAATAAAAAAAAGCTAACCAACCTTCCAGGAGCTATCTAAGGTACCGTAATCCTCCTGTCCCTTGCGTATTGCACAGACTCGCATCCCCTCGGTCAAGTCGACGCGCCCAACGCACGATACACAAAAACATAGTAGTTTCATGCATATATATGGAATGGTCGCTAAATCAGAGGGACAGATGCATGAGAAGCTTCCGCCAGGCATAACACTTGTTCAAGCTGACGACTTCCAAACCTGGCTCATGGACATCAAAGTCATGGACTCGAATCCCATCTACGAAGGCGAAACATACCGCTTGAAGTTCAGTTTTAGCCCGCAGTATCCTATCGAGGTATTTGATTCCTGCTTCGAGCTAGTCGAATTCGCCTAGCTAGTTGCTAAACTCCCCACTTCATAGGCCCCCGAAGTCGTATTCGTCCGCGATGAAACTCATCCGATACCCTGGCACCCGCATATCTACTCCAACGGCATCATCTGCCTCGACCTGCTAGACCGCTCTGGCTGGTCTCCCGTACACAACGTGGAGAGCGTATGTGTGAGCTTGCAGAGCATGCTCACGAGTAACACGAAGAAGGAAAGACCTCAGGGAGACGATAACTTCGTAAGGTACAACACCCAGAGGCCAAGGGACATCAGCTTTGTGTTCCACGACGAGAAAGTTTGAGACTGTGGCAATTCTGGTTTACATGGCGGGTTTTTTGAGAACAAGGGGCATTGGTGTATTATAGAGTTGGTGTATGGCGTTATTTTTTTTGCAGGATATGGAGGCCAGGAAGGGAAAGGACTGGGCGTTACATGATGACGGTTCCGAACATGGAAGCAAAGAAAGCTTATCATTTGATCAAACCTTCGATGAGGACATAGAAAATCGGTATGCTGAAAACTTTCCATCACAGTAAGAGTTTGATTACACACTATTCCTTGCTGGTATTATAGCTACCAGAATGAAATCAAAAATTTGATGGATCCGAAGCAATTTAGTCGACTAGTCATGTGTAAGGTTGTTAGCGGTATGTGTATGATTCTCAGTCCGCCTATCTGCTTGAGAACTTGGACATGATTTCTAGACCCAATACCAGAGTGCAACCATAGAGACAAAACGTGGTTTGTGGACACGATGTATCGCAATGTCTGGCCACACTTTTATATCCGTCTATATGCTACCAATGGCTCAGCTTTGGTGTGATTTTTCTGTTTCGTTAGGACGAAGGCCTCTGGGTCGAGGTTCGTGTCTTTCCCAAGTATCTTGAACAAAGAAACGCGATCCAGGCTGCCATTCTGCAACTGTCTCCTGAAGCAGAGTTGGTATTGGAGTCAGCGTTTCCCGCAGAAACAAAAGAAATATGCTCGCTTTGAGAATGGACGGATACCTGGGTCCACCAGCAGAACATGAGTGTCAGCTGCACAGCCTATGTTGTTACCTTCTACAAAGGTACTCGCGCTCTAGGATGTCGAATTTCTCTGCCCGCGAAGGGTACCGTTGTTCTTGGACACTCGGAATGATCATTCTGCAAAGTCTCGCTCAACTCTTAGCATCTGAGGAAAAAATAAAATAACTCTCTCCGAGACCAACCGAGGTTTGCCTCAAGGTTTTGTTGCCTCCAATTATTTTATTTTCCAAGGTATCGATAAGCGCCGGCGAACAAGTTAACCGAGTGCGCCTAGCGCCGCCCGCCGACACTACGAACGATCCCTGCGAGGCCAATTTTTCTCCGTTCGCTCGCCTTTAAGCAAGCGCAAAAAAGATTCCCAGCACTTTTTTCCCACCTTCTCTCCAACATCTTCCTGCTCTTCAATTTTACTTCAGGTTGTTCCTTCCACACACACCGCAATCATGAGCGAAGAAGTCTACGAGGGTGCCATCGGCATCGATCTTGGTGCGCAACACTCGCAATATTACCCCACAGTGGCATGTGCTAACCGATATCCCTAGGCACTACCTACTCTTGCGTTGCCAACTACGAGGGCACCAATGTCGAGATCAGTATGCGCCCGCTCAATTCATCCTCATCAAAGCAATCGTCTAACCATGCTTTCCCACAGTTGCCAACGAGCAGGGTAGCTTCACCACTCCCTCGTTCGTGTCCTTCACCTCAGAGGAGCGTCTTATCGGTGAGGCGGCCAAGAACCAGGCTGCTATGAACCCCGAGAACACTGTCTTCGATGTCAAGTGAGTTTTGTCTTTTTCGCAGACATGTTGCACATGCGACCAGTAGACTGACTTTGCCAGGCGTCTCATTGGTCGCCGATTCGAGGACGAGACCGTCACAAAGGACATCAAGTCATGGCCATTCAAGGTCATTGACCAGAACGGCAGCCCTATGGTCGAGGTCGAGTACCTCGGTGAGAAGAAGCAGTTCTCTCCTCAGGAGATCTCTGCCATGGTTCTCGTCAAGGTACGATCTGCGCCCACATACCCTGTTCAGCGGGGCAAATACATACTTTTGTGTGGCGAGGCGGAACTAACATACCCCACAGATGAAGGAGGTCGCTGAGACCAAGCTCGGAAAGAAGGTTGAGAAGGCCGTCATCACTGTGCCTGCTTACTTCAACGACAACCAGCGTCAGGCCACCAAGGATGCTGGTGCCATTGCTGGCCTCAACGTTCTCCGTATCATCAACGAGCCCACCGCCGCTGCTATCGCTTACGGTCTTGGTGCCGGTAAATCCGACAAGGAGAGGAACGTCCTCATCTACGATCTTGGTGGTGGTACTTTCGATGTGTCTCTTCTGCACATTCAGGGTGGTGTCTTCACTGTCAAGGCTACTGCCGGAGAGTAAGTCCTCTTTTTTGCTCCACTATACCAACACTTTAGCTAATTAAACACTACAGCACACATTTGGGTGGTCAAGACTTCGATACCAACCTCCTTGATCACTTCAAGAAGGAGTTCACCAAGAAGACCAAGAAGGGTACGTGGAGTGATGAAAAATTTCCTTTCCCCTCAGAAGTCGACTGTGGCAACCACGGTGGCAACGACACCATTTCGAATGGCTCTAAGCCTGCTGTACTTCGATACTCCTACTGACATTCTGTAGACATCAGCGGCGATGCCCGTGCTCTCCGTCGTCTCCGAACTGCTTGCGAGCGTGCCAAGCGTACTCTCTCCAACGCCACCCAGACCACCGTTGAGATCGATTCTCTTTTCGATGGCGAGGACTTCAACGCGAACATCACCCGTGCTCGTTTTGAGGACCTGAACCAGAAGGCCTTCGCTGGCACTCTGGACCCCGTTGCCCAGGTTCTCAAGGACGCCAACATCGGCAAGGACAAGGTCGACGAGATCGTCCTCGTTGGTGGTTCTACCCGTATCCCTAAGATTCAGAAGCTCCTCAGCGACTTCTTCAACGGCAAGAAGCTTGAGAAGAGCATCAACCCCGATGAGGCCGTTGCCTACGGTGCCGCCGTCCAGGCCGGTATCCTTTCTGGAAAGGCTACCTCCGCCGACACCGCTGATCTCCTCCTTCTCGATGTTGTTCCCCTCTCCCTTGGTGTCGCCATGGAGGGTAACATTTTCGCTCCCGTCGTCCCCCGTGGCCAGACTGTTCCTGTGAGTATTTATTCATTCCTGCTTAGAACATGACCTGACCTTTTTTTCAGACTATCAAGAAGAGGACTTTCACCACTGTTGCCGGTAAGATAATCCTCGCTGCCTGTTTCTGACCATGTACTGACTTTTTTAGACAACCAGCAGACCGTCCAGTTCCCTGTCTTCCAGGGTGAGCGTGTCAACTGCGAGGACAACACCTCGCTAGGCGAGTTTACCTTGGCACCAATTCCACCTATGCGGGCCGGAGAAGCGGTTCTTGAGGTTGTTTTCGAGGTTGATGTCAACGGTATCCTGAAGGTCACTGCCACCGAGAAGACCTCCGGCCGCAGCGCCAACATCACCATCTCCAACGCCGTTGGCAAGCTCTCGTCAACTGACATCGAGAACATGATCAACGACGCCCAGAAGTTCAAGTCCAGCGACGAGGCTTTCAGCAAGAAGTTCGAGTCCAGACAACAACTCGAGTCCTACATTTCCCGTGTCGAGGAGATGGTCTCTGACCCCACCACTTCCATCCGCCTCAAGCGTGGCCAGAAGGAGAAGATTGAGTCTGCTCTCTCTGATGCCATGGCTCAGCTCGAAGTTGAGGATGCCTCCGCTGAGGACCTGAAGAAGAAGGAGCTCGCGCTCAAGCGCACTGTCACCAAGGCTTTCTCTACCCGATAAGCGCATCATGTACGAGAGGCGCCACATGGGTTGGCGGGTAGGAAGTAAGGGCGCAGGTGCAGGATACCCAGACTGCAAGCTGTGAACGGAGTTTCATCTATTGCGGCTTTTAACGATAGACTTGGTGTGTTTGGTTCCTTCTTCTTTCATGGGTTCCCGTTTCCGGCATTCATGGAACGTGAAAAAAAGTCTTCTTTATGCTTTCACGACGATGCCTGACGAAACGATCGTAACGGATGTTCTGCAAAAGTATGCCTGGCGGTCAACGTCTCTTATGTAGTTCACGAGGTAGATGCACGGAGAGAGAGGAAAGGAAATTGAAATGAATTTATTAAATTTAACCTATGTCCCATCCTTAATTCTTGCTTTTTCATTGTTAAGATATTTATAAGTCTAAAGTCCGTCCTTATATCTAAAGATAATCCCTAAAATAAACATCAGTGAATGGCTTAGTTGCGAATAGGCTTGGTTATATATTGTACATCTAAGGATTGAGATGTCCAAGGTAGTGCCAGCATACAAGGCGGACTCTGACCAGTATACAATGGTAAAAGAAAGACAAAATCTCAAGGAATCTTCTTCAGCATTTCATTCGCCGCCACTCCTAGCTGCAGTATTAAAAAAATGAAAACGAAGTTCTTTCCTTGGCGGAACGAGTAAGAACTCTTAGCAGAGATTTTATCTTTGTTTGGTGGAGAGAGAGAGATGCATATGGCATTGAAGTTTCTTACAATAATGTCACATCTACTATAGTAACAATTGAAACTAACAAAAAAGAGGCATTTAGATTGAATCGATCAACCTACTATACGAAACGAGACATGAATTTCTTTCGGCCAACGCTGCATGTTCTACTGCCATGCATAGTGCTCATTGTTCACCCACAATGGTAGCTCTTTGCTAATTCCACCTTGCTCGTCATACCACAGCAAACTGGCAATGTGATCCTCCTCCCGCTCTTTGATAGCGTATTCCAATCCACTGTCCTTCAGCATACCTAATACCAGTGGCGTTGGGTCCCACAGCTTCACTACGTCGAGCTTCCATTCAGTAGCCTCAGCCTGTGCAGCTTGTAATACGGCCTTCAAAAGCTCAATCTGCGTCTCGTAGACATCCTTTTCTGGTCTCTTGGCAGCGTCCTTGGGAAGTCTTGTTGCAGTTTCATCACCCTCTACGACTAGTCGCTGTATGTACAAAACGTTGCTTGACTTCTCGGCACCGAGGGGACCATAATATCGGTGCAACCATGTCGCCCATACTTGCTTGCTTGGAGATCCTACTATGACTCCCTTTGCAGGTGGAGTTTTCCCGAAGAGATAGTCGGTCGCAAATTGTTCTTTTGCGATGTGCCAACCCATGTGATCTACATCCGGTACGATTGTGAAACGTGTTTTTTTGATCTCATCTGCAGGTACTGACATGTGAGAGCGTACTAGAACTTCATCTCTCTTGCAGATATCGTCAAGATCGTTCTCCATGATCGCCTTGGCCAGGGTTGGCCATGCAATGGGCTTCGGTGGTAGTTCGACTTGTGAGTTCGTGATGTTCGGAGTCCATCCCAGCTTCGCGTAGTATTCTTTCCCAATATCGGAGTAAAGTGTGGTTCCAATGCATGGAAACTTATCGGTTTGCCATCTATACAGTTCCTTAATCAACTCTTGCATCATGCGACCGGCGTAACCACGGCGGCGGTACGGTGGTGCGCAGAAGACGCTAGCGATTCCATGTACGATATTATCGCTGACTTCTCCTTGTGTGTTACTGGCCAAAGAGTGTTTCCTGAAAGTTTCGCACGAACACAAGATATGTCGTTTGTTTGGGACCGAATCTTTGTGGACGAGAACCCAAGTAGTCATACCTCCATCTCTAGCTAAAGGGACCGTTGTGAGAAAACGAGACTCCTTCAAGTAGAGGGGAGGGGTAAGGGAATCGGCCCATTCAGTGGAAGTGCTGTTCCAGATTGTGGCACATTCATCCTCAGTCGGATGTCGTAGGATGAGATCAGGACTTTTTGAATCGGGCAAATCCTCCTTTGGTAAGACATCCATGGCTATAGAAGTTAAGAAATCTCGTCAGGTGTCTGACTACGGAGCCGATAAACCGTAGGATTATCTCTCTTACCGAAGTCATCGGACGATGTTGCAGTTGCAACTGTACACGTGGGGGACAGGGCT